TATATATATACATATATATATATATATATATATATATACATATATAATATATAATATATATATACATATATATATATATATACATACATATATATATATATATATATACATACATATATATATATATATATACATACATATACATACATATATACAAGGTATATGTGTCACAAGTTGAGGAAAAAAATATTTTATTACTTGAAAAGACTACACCAACTTGGTTGGCCCTCTACGTTTAAAATGAGATATTGATCTACCGAAATAGAGACTAGTTGCTGGACAAGCCGACGATGCAATAAGAAAAAGACACAATAACTAAGACGTGTAGGTAGACTCAATGACTCAATAAGGACCAACACCTCATAAGACAAGACAAGGATCACTTCTTCCTGAAACCTTGTAACTTGCTCGATGAGCTCAGAATCATAGACCCTCATCAAACCCAATTCTCGACGAGGCATCACTCAGTCTCTTCTAGTTACATCACCAGCATGACTCCTCAAGCCTTTGCCTCAGCGACAAGCATTGGGTCTCCTTTTTCCTTTTCAACGCTCCACCTCCTCATGGAAATTATCGATCATAAGGGACTATTGATAAATGATGACATCCGATATGCGATCAAGAAGAACCATGATGTAATAGTGATGTTGTAAGTTAAAGACAAAGAGGCATCTCAGATAGTGCAAAAGTGATCAATATGTAAAGATCACGTTAGAAAGTGCAAAAGTCATTGATGTTTGAAGATCACCTAAAAAGAGCAAAAAAATCCATCACGATGGGAGGCACAAGACAAATTGTGCCCTAGGCACGTGACTAGAGAAAACCCGATCAGTATAATAAGAAACTCGTCATGATGAGAAGTACAAGATAAAATATGCTCGAGACGCATGAGTCAGGAAAATTTGACCCACGTAAAAAAAAAATATAATGACAGAAGGCACAAAACAGAATATGTCTGAGCTATGTGAGTCAGGATAAGAGACACAAGATAAAATATACCTGTCACGATGAGAGACATAAAATAAAATATACCTAGGGCACGTGAATCGAAAAAACTTGGCCCATATAATAAGAAACCCACCACAACCGGAGGCACAAAACAAAATATGCCCGAGGCATGTAAGTCGAGAAAACTCAACCTGCATAATACAAAATTCACCATGGCGGGAGGTATAAGACATGTGCTTAAGGTGGATGAGTCGGAAAAACTCGATCCGTGAGAAGAAACTCATTACGTTAGGAGGCACAAGATAAAATGTGCCAGAAACACATGAGTTAGGAGAACCCGACCAACATAATAAGAAACCTATCACAGTAGGAGGCAAAAGATAACATGTGCCCGAGGTATGTGAGTTTAAAAAGCATGGCCCGGGTAATAAGAAACCCACAACGATATGAGGCATATGACAAAATATGCTTGAGGTACATAAGTTAAGAAAACCTAACCCACATAAAACAAGTATGCCATGGCAGGAGGCACAAGATAAAATGTGACCAAAGTATGAGTTAGGAAAACGTGAACTACTACCATGATAGAAGGCACAGGATAAAATGTGCTTGAGTCACACAAGTTGAGAAAACCTAATCTTCGTAAGAAGAAATTTACCACGATGAAAGGTACAAGACGAGATGTGTCCAGGGCACATAAGTTAGCAAAACCTAACCTGCATGAGAGTAAGTCCTCTATGGCAGGAGACACAAGGGAAAGAATTCCCGAAGCATGGAATTAGAGTATCGATCCCTCCTTTACTCGAGGTGGGTAGGTTATTGCCCAACGCATCCCATCATCATGGAGGCCTATAAATTTGAAAAAAAGAAAAGAAAAGATGTATACGAGCACCTCTGGTAGAAACGAGGCCTCCACATAATAAAAAAAGAGTGCATACCCATCTTTGCCCAAGGCGGGGAGGTCGGGAAATCTAACCTCCACCTTACATCAAGGCAAGAAGGTTGAGAAGCCTGACCCCCACCTTCATCAAAGATCGGGAGGTCGGGAAACTTGACCCCTGCCTTCATTGAGGTAGGGAGATCAGTAAACCTAACCCCCGCTTCACCGAGGCATAGAGGTCGAGAAGCCTGACCATTGTCGTTGCTCGAGGTGGGGGAGGTCGGGAAACCCAACTCCTGCCTTTACCGAGGAAGGGAGATTGGGAAACTTGACCCCCATCTTTGCCAAGGTGTGGAGGTCAGAAAGCTTGACCCCTGCCTTTGCTCGAGACATGAGGTTAGGAAGCCCGACTCCCACCTTCATCCGAGGCATAAAAGGTCGGGAAGCTCAACCCCTACGTCTGTCGAGACGTGGAAGTCGGGAAGAGATAGGGAGGTCGGTAAACCCGACCTCATCCAACCAATGTGTGTCCCTCGACGATACGAGGGGCAAGTCGATGATAGATCGTCATCGATAACGCTAGAGGGAGGCGATCCCGGATAGACGTATCAGACGAACTCGTGTCAAATGATACGAGGGGCACAATGGACTAGACATGTCAAACGATCCCATGTCAAACGAACTAGACATGCTGGACAATCCCATGTCAAACGAACTAGACATGTCAGACAATCCCATGTCAAACGAACTAGACATGCCACCAAATCAATAATGGATCGAAGAGGAATAAGCTTGATGTTCCAAATGAACTCAACATCACACTTTGGACCCTTCTCACGAGAGCCTCGAAGCACACTTGGGGGTTGGGGGGGGGGAGCAAATAATAGGGAGTACTCTATTAGCTAATCGTCAATTAATACATAACCGCCACATGGTATCCAAGGTGAAATGAGAAGACGGAGGTCACCCTCCACCCATCTACCCACATGGGCCAATGTCCACGATATGTGGTTATAGGCTGCCTCCCTTTGTCACCCACATGGACAAGAGCTCAAGGGGAGGCTATTGGATGCGGTTAAAAGTTGCCTTATTGTAAAATATTTCATGAAATGTTCTATCATTTTGTGATTATGTATAAAAGCTCATCCTCAACACAATAAAGAAGGGATTATTTTTTTTGACGATTCGTGTTCATACTCATATATTTCAAGCTATCAACTTGGTATCAGATGGATTATGTTAGAAATTTTTTTTTAACCTCGGTTTTCATGCAGATGACATATCGGGAGCTCAAAGGGGATATATTGAATTGATTAAGACGTCAATAATTTCTTCATACATTTTGGATTCATCTTGAAAAAGTAAAACTGCGTAGAGTCATCTATAGTGTATAATTCCTCTCGAGTCTTCCGTCAACAAAGATAAATGAAAAATTATTAAATTATATAAAAGAAAGGATAACAACTTTATTATATTGATAACTACGTTTAATCTCATATGTAGTAAAGAGTAATGACTTTACAAACACGAGTCACTCTTTATTCTTAGAGGCAACTTTTGGGATCCCCCTAACTATAATTGGATTTCTATATTAATATGAAAAGTTTAGATGGTCGGTTATAAGCAAATAATAGAGAGTATTCCATCAATTAATCGTCAACTAACACATAACCGCGACATGGTATCCAAGGTGAAATGAGAAGACGGAGGTCACCCTCCACCCATCTGCCCACGTGGGCCAATGTACACAATATGTGGTTATAGGCTGTCTCCCTTTGTCACCCACATAGATAAGAGCCCAAGGGAAGGCTATTGGATGCAGTTAAAAGTTACCTTATCATAAAATATTTCATGAAATATTCTATCATTTTGTGATCATGTATAAAAGCTCATCCTCAACACAATAAAGAAGGGATTTTTTTTTTTTACAATTCGTGTTCATACCCATATATCTCAGGCTATTAAATTGGTATCATATAGATTATGTTAGAAAATTTTTTTTGACCTCGGTTTTCATGCAGATGACATATCGGGAACTCGAAGGGGATCATTAAATTGATTAAAAAAGTAAAACTACGTAGAGTCATCTATAGTGTATAATTCCTCTCAAGTCTTCCATCAACAAAGATAAATAAAAAATTATTAAATTATGTTAAAAAAGGGTAACGACTTTATTAGATTGATAACTACTTTTAATCTCATATGTAAAGAGTAACGACTTTACAAACAATCCCCTAACTATACTTGAATTTCTATATTAATAAAAGTTTAGATGGTCAGTTATATAATTTGTCATTTAAGAAAAGATTGGGAGGTATCTGAAAAACACAAATCTTGAGGTCTTTCATCGAAAATTGTCCTATAATTGTTTATTATTATTTATTATTTATTATTTTTACGTTTCACTCTCTTCCCATCGGGGCTCAGTTACGAAAGCAAAAGGGTGGAGAGGGGAGCGGCAGCGAGGGACCGGAGCGCCCATCTCCGAGTAGATCCCGTAGAGCGGAGAACGTACGGCTCGGATCCCGCCAACCGGTCGCCGGAAATGAACATCTTCAGGTTAGCGGGCGACATGACGCATCTCATGAGCGTCCTCGTCCTCCTCCTCAAGATCCACACCATCAAATCATGTGCCGGCAAGTCCCTACACTTCTTCTTCTCTGGTTTCTCTTGGAGTCTGGTTTGAATTGTTAGCTTTAGGATTTTCTGCTGAAAGGAAATTCCCTGGAAGCATTTTGCGAGTTCTTGCCAGAGTGGAGAGCAGATCAGGGATGACTTTGGTGTTAGGTTAGGGATCTGTAATTGGGTTTCAACATGAAGCCGAAGGGTTATTGGATGCTTATAGTAAAATTGACCACAGCGCATGCGTCAATCTGCATGTCCAGATGTGAAGATAATGCATTCTCCACCTTTAGGGTTAATCTTTTGGCTGATCTTCTCGATTGTAAAGTGAGAAGATTGCGAAGACCGAAACTTGGTGCTAGCTATTACTTTATAGTGTTCTTGATATGGCGTTTCTTCTCGTTCTTGCTTCCTATCAAAATTTCAAACATACTAGTGTAAGCCGATATATTACCATGAGTTGGCTGAGTATAGTCCCTAGGGCTCAAGAAGCTTGGTATAGGTAATGAGGGGAGATTTCTTGTCAATCACCAATAAGCATTATCATTAGTCCTACGATGTGATAAGGGAAACACTCGTTTGCAATGATCTCCGACCATGTTGACGTGTTCTTTTCGTGCTTGCAAACAGTGCTTTGAGCTAACAAAATATGGATAAAAATTAAGAAGGATCTAAAAATTCTGTAGCTACTAGAAAAAGGTGCTACGATCGATGCCTGTTGCCTATCTATCTCCAACTAAAATAAGCTAATATACTATAAAGCCACTTCAGAGTCATCCAATCAAGTTAGGAAAAGAGGGGATTAGTCATGCTCTGTTGGTGTCATAGTTGTGTTAGGTAGATATATTCTATTGTTAAATGATTATCTTATGTATTTTCGTCGTTATTTATAATTGAGGTTTTAGGGAATCTCTAGAGTCCATTTTTCAGTCTCTTTGATATTCAAGTCCTAATGTGATATAATATTAGGTCAGGTTAGTTATTTAGTTATTTGGGATCATATTTGAAGAGTTGTAGAGGTCTCTTTTTATGGGTTCTGGATAGTGATCAGATGATAAGAAAAAAATCTTTCTCACATGGTCTTTTTGATGGTTACATTTATAAGCCATTGGAAGCTCTTGAGACATGATTATGAGACTTGTTTAGTTTTCCTTGGACAATAAAAAAATATATCTTTTGGATATTTTCTCTCTCACTCACCGTTGAAGATATTTTTTCATCCTTAAATTGGATGGTAGCTTGCTAGGAGGGCCATATTCTATTAAAAGATGGAAAAGAAAGGGAAGGTGGGAGCAAGCATAATGCTCTTTCCCCTCCACCTGGTGGCTCTAGTGCTGGATATATCTTTTTTTCTTTCTTTTTCTCTCTAAATATTTTGATGGTCATTATAGCCTGTGACTATATTTTAATTGACTAGCTGTATCATCATGGATGGCATACATATACTATACAGAGTTTATCATGTTTTAAGATCATCCTGTGATTGTCTTACAAAACATATTAACCGTTTCCCACTGACACTGTTAAATTATATGCAGTGGGGATGATATGTGATAAACTTTTGCTTGTTGTATTCCTAATGTGCTTTACCTCCCTGTGTTCCTAGTTTATGGTATCTCTTGATGCATATATATCGTTATGATTTGTGGAGTTTCATAGCTGACCTACTTTCTGTCATTAGAGCCCAACGAGAGGTGTACAATAAGTTTCTCTGAAGGCTAAGTATCATTTCTTTTATTCCTCACTTTGTTTCCTTGTCATATATTTTGCTATATGTGTCATCTAGCAGATTATAGCTTTTTTCAGAACTACATGTTTAAGCATTTGCAATTTTGTACTTCTCTTAAAAGGTCATAGCCATAAATGCATCTTTGGGTGTTGATTTGATAATCTATTATCTTTCAGCTAATAAAGATATCCATCTTTCCTTTTCATTTAATCTAATTCAAGTTTGACCCATTTTTTCTCCAACTTCAATAGTTCAATTATCAATAATATATTCTGGTTGTTTACTTAATAGAATACAAAACATCATGATTTTCTTTCATGCAAGTTATTTACAACCGAGTGTCTAGTATTACTATATTATAAAAGTTTTATTTGTACTCATGAAATAAATCTCAAACCTGACATCCATTATGTATCTAATTCTTGTTTGGATCTTAATTTTGTCTTTTCTGGTATTTCAAATTCTTTGCATCTCTTTGCATTATGTTAAATTGGCTATATTGTATGCTTATAATTAACATAGTTCATGTCATTCCTCTCACAGGTATTTCTCTGAAGACCCAAGAGCTTTATGCTCTTGTTTTTGCCACTCGGTACTTGGATATTTTTACTGATTTTATCTCAGTTTATAATACAATTATGAAGCTTATTTTCTTGGGGAGCTCTTTCTCAATTGTCTGGTACATGAGACGACACAAACTTGTCCGTAGATCTTATGACAAGGAACAAGACACTTTTCGGCATTTTTTCCTTGTATTACCATGTCTACTTTTGGCCCTAGTTATGAATGAAAAGTTCACATTTAAGGAGGTAAGTTCATCTGTTTGATAGGATTATTTTATTTTTTTTAAAAAAAATTGCAATCAACAAGACTTGCAGATTTATGTTGTAATTAGAATGTCATTATGGCTTGAACAGATTCTGTTTGGAATTATTCATGGAATTTGTCTCTTCTGTAACTTGATGCTTCTGCTCTATTTGTCCTGCAAATTTATTTTTACATGACAGGTTATGTGGGCATTCTCCTTATATTTGGAAGCTGTTGCGATACTTCCTCAACTGGTATTGCTGCAAAGGACAAAAAATATAGACAACTTGACTGGTCAATATGTCTTTCTCCTAGGGTAAGCATCCATCCCAGATCTTTAGTTTTTGACTTGAGTTGATAGTTTCCTTGTATTTACAGCCGACCTTATTGCTCTGTTTTCCATTTTAGAAATAATGTCCATGGATATGGAATTTATGTACCTAGAAGATAAGTATCTAACTAATTGCTTCATGATGCTGCTTTGCCACGATTCAATGGATATGAAGTGATTTCATCATAAAAGCCTAACTTGGTTATGTGAACTATTTTTCAAATAAAAGAACAATTTTGTAGGCCACTTACACTCATTTGAAATTTCTTATTAATTGTGGAGATTGTGATTAGATAAAATTTTGAAACTTTGGTTGTTGGTTAAAAGTTGTTGATTTCTGCTTATGCTAACATAAATTTATGAAAAGTATGAGATTTCTCTTGATGTAATAAATTACTTTTCAGTAGCCTGCTAGTATGATTGGTCAATCTCTAATAGTCTAGCCATTTCCTTGACAATCTTGACTTTGCAAGCTTGCATAACTATATAATTGGTTTAATCCTGATGTACGTCTTTGATATCCCAGGATAACATGAAGATGATTGAATACATATTTGAGAAGAAAAGATATTTACTTTATTTGTAAGCCTAAATACTTAGAACATATATCATTATTATCAATATTCTAAAAGAAATTAACTGAAAATATTATTTTCATAAAATGTTAATTAAAAATTATGCGTGGATAAGGTGGGAGAGACCTGTAGGTAGTGTGGCATGGGAAAAATGGTGGAAGTGACTAGAGCAAACAGCAGCAGTGTAAAGTGCGTGAGAAAGAAAAGTTAGAGGGGACTCTTGAGGGAGAAGAAAAGAGGAACTAGCCTCATTTAGAGGCAGGGTTATAATCCTGATAAGCATTCTGCTTATTACACGACTACCTATTTCTTTGAATTTAATTTTTGAATCCAAATTGTAAAGGTACATCTGTACATGAATCTATATCTCATGATTAGGTAGCCCCAATTCTCCAATGTCATACATTCATTGTGATTGACATGCAAACATGAAAGAGGTTCAGGAATTGTGGTTTCATGTGAAGAGCAGACTTGGACTTCTCAGTCGGTCTCTATTGGGTCTATCCACAGGAAAATGCCTCCTTCCCTATTAAGGAAAAAAGAGAACAATGGGATCGGTTTCCAACAAATCAGGCTAGACTTGTCACAGGCAGATACCTTAATTCAATGTGGTAATGGCCAGTTCCTCATCAGCATGAGACATGCCAATTCATCTGAGTCACTATAAAATATAAATGGTAGCCAGCAGACCCGGAGATCCTGACTCCAAATCAGAAAAAATATATTCATAATACATCAGAATCTGGGCCAACTTTGATGTATCTATGCTGTCAATCTATATCTCATATCCAATTTGACTTGGAGAACATGAGAAATCTCACTGACATGGTGTCCACATACAGGCTTGGCACATTGTAGCATCATTCATACAGTTCTGACAAATGACAAGTATGGGCTTTTTTACTGGGTTCAGTTAAATAAGACTGAGTTTATAGGTTTTGTTCATGTGGCAGAACCCAGTTGATATGCAGCTTTTATCTGTTTCTAAGTGACTGCAAAATAATGAAATTCATGTAACAATGTACTACAATCACATGGTCTCATTACAATTTTCTAGTGCCTTTTGTTTTAAAGAGAGTTTATTTTTTCCTGTCACAGGTGCATTTTTGTGTAAGTTGTCATCAGATATTATTGCATTGCTCTCAACTTCAACTTTGTAGATAATGCATTTTTTTCTCTTTTCTTAGACTTCCTACCATGAGTTTCAGTATGGTTATCAATATCTTAATTTTTTGAATTGTCTCTCCTTATCATGCTCTCTTGGCATACTCTCCATGACTTGCGATACAAATTAGTTCAAGTTTCTTCTCATTCATTTCATGGTTTCCATTTGCGCTTCAGGAAATGGATTATAAAATGTTCTTACAATTGAACATCCAAAACATTTTCCTGCTGATTTTTCTCAACTTCTTTGCAAACTGAAACATATTTCTGAAGACAAGATATTTCCTAGTATGGATAAATCATTCAGAAATTCTTAATTATGTCAGAAAGGTCAAGTCATAATGCTGACCCCACTATTTCTGCACATAAAGTATCAGGGACCAAATCTTCTGTTGAAGCAATAACATTGTTGATTATAATTTTTGTAGTGAATAGAGGACAAGCTTTGGAGCCATGGTAAGACCATTCTATTATGATATGATGATGAAGGATTGAGTTATAAAAACATCATGATTAAAGTTGCATATATTGACCTTTAATAGAATCTCACGTTGCCCATTAGGCTGCTCTTTTTTGAACTTTTCATAGTGAATACTTCAAACATGCATTGTATCGTCATATGATGATAGTTGTTCTTATATATTGTTGATTGGCTTTTATATGCTATTACCATATTATGTTCCACATACTGAAGATTTTCTTAAATTAAGTGTTTCCTCATTTTGTAAGTTGAACTTGGGATATTTAATTGAACTTTCAAAGTTGCTGAGCACAATCTCTTATGGTGCAGGGCATATAGAGCATTTTACATTTTTAACTGGATTTACCGCTACTTCACTGAGCCTCACTATGTTCATTGGATAAGTAAGAATTCCCATCTTTCCTAAGAATTCAACTTTATCTTATAACTTTTAGTCTCATTTTGCCTTGTTTTCGTTCCACAGCATGGATATCTGGACTGGTGCAGACACTGCTTTATGCTGATTTCTTCTACTACTACTTCAATAGGTAAGCGTTGGTAATGTCTTAAAAACTCTGCTACAATTCTGCAAAACGATAGATTTTTTTTCCGTAACATGATGAGTTCGATATCATTCACAGTTGGAAGAACAATGTCAAGCTCCATCTACCAGCATAAATCTGTCTTTCAAGGTCAGCTCTCGTAGGATACAGCCATCACGTGTGAAGAATTCTCATCCGTACGCTCACTATTATGAAGCCCATCTGCTTGTTTGGGTGCTTTAAGCGACTTAAAACCGGTTTTAAGCATGTCTGGCATTTATGAATATGTAAGAATATCCGATCCCATATATGGGGAATGTAGAACTATGTTCAATTCAAGGTATGTGTTCTTTTTATATTCCAATTCAACTGTGCTAGAAGTCAGATCTGAGGTTCCTTATCTGTTTGCGAAGATAACCTGAACTTTCTTTGCAATTTATTGTATTAAAAATCATAATATTGGGAATATTTGATGGTCTATTATTTATTTCCGGTTCTGATTTTTAAAGACTGTCAAAGTCTTATTTGAGAAAGACAAGTTTGACATCTTGATCCTTTCTCAAAGTCTTTATCTGTTAAAAAGCTTAGTTCAAATCTTTTTTGTTCAGTATAAATACCAAGTAATTCTTATCAGATCTTTGAATTGAAGAGTTGTTGAGGCACCACAACTCTGCAACCTAACAGTTCTCCCAATCACAGTTGATACCGTGCGTGCAAATTTGTTCTGAATTTAAACTCCAACAATTACATAGATCCTTGAATTCATATCCAGATTTGATGTAGATGCCTATATTTCTACAGAAATATGGTGTAAATCCGACTAAGATGTACTCGAATTTGTTTCTAATGATGAATATATTTGGATAATCCAATAAATCAGGATTCTACTTATGTACATATATATTTTTAATTCGATTAAAGAATATCTAAATTCTATTTAATATGTCAGATAAACACAAATATCCAAAACAAACCCTTTCTAATCACTGAAAAGGTTTTTATTTGGCCTCACAATTCCTTTTGCTCCGTAGCTTGAATGAAGCGATTAATGTCACATTTCCATCTTCGTGTGATAGGGATATTGCAACAACAACAACAGCAATAAAATCATAAATTTTTATTGTTTAAAATTAATTATAAAAATTAATTATTATTATTATTATTATTATTATTATTATTATTATTATTATTATTGAGATTGGTAAGAAGTTTAAGTTCAGAATACTTAAATTTTATTTATAATTTATATTACTTTTTTTTTTAGATTTTCGTATTATTAATATGAATTATGATTGTCAGCATGATGGAATGTTACGATCTGCCTAAACGTTAAATTGCGTGATCCCAAGTCAAACACAAACCCCAAGGTTAAAATTGTAAGACAATACTTGGCTCGCCATCTAACTCACCGGAGCATGAACAAGATCCCAAACCAAGCCTTTATGTTGCTGGCCGAGTGACCAAAAGTCGACGGCAGCCGTGCCCTCTGTTGTTTTGGTCGCGTCTGCCCCTTTTCTTTTCCCTGCTTCCCCGTTTTAGCCCCGAGTGACCAGAGGCCGTAGAGCTCGCTCTCGCCGGGGGCCGCCGCCGGAGGAGAAGTAGATGGAAGCCTCGGGTTCCGCGATGGAGCTCAGTCCTGAGGAAGAGAGAATCCTCATCAGAGACATCACCATCGCCGCCGAATCCCTCGCCAAGGAGGGCGACACCTTCTTCCTCATCAGCCAAAGGTCAAAGATCGGTTTTTTTTTGTATTATTTTCCCAAAATTTTATAGATTTGGAGATGATTTCAGTGCATCATGGTTTGAACCCGCGGTATAATGACCGGAAATGTTTTTGATTTCCTCTTTCACCTAATCGGTTAAAGATTTTTTTTTTCTTTTTAGGTTTTCGGATAAAAGAACGGACATTCTTGAGTTGTTCGAATTTGAATATTTTTACTCTGTATTGAGGCTGGAGGACTTTAACGGATTAGTGAGCATTTCTCTGCATTTTGTTAGATAAAGTTAATCTACCTTACTTTTGTTTTTTTCACCTATGAGGGTTTTATGAATCCATTTCCCTTTGGTCTTACAGTGCATTGCGATTTCTTTCTACACTTTTGATTCTTCTGTTGTTATCATTGGTTTCTTTTTTGTTATCCTTCTTTTTCTTCTTAACTGCTTTCAACATCTCGTGTACACGCCTGGATAATTAAAATAATATTTAGTGATTTGTATATTGTTGAAATATTTGACGAGCTAATAATGGGGATTTTAATAGTGGCAAAATATGGAGATCGTAGAGCAAGTTGGAGATGATCAAGGCATACAAATCTTGTCGATGTCCAACTTGTCAATGAAGGTTGCAGGTCTTAAGAAAAATAAACATAAGTATTCTGAAGTAGTTGTTCTGATCTCATGGTCTATAGATGATTAGCTATCACGACGTTTGACTACTATGGCTTCCGGTAGGTGTTTGAGAATAATTTCTACCACATATATAATGTTTAGCACTAAATGTTGACTCTATTGCTTCCGGTGATGGTTTCTAAGCCAATAAAAGAGGAAAATGTAATGTCTTAAACAGAGCCTTATGCACTTGCAACAAATGATTGTTGGTCATTCCTTGACAAGATATATTCATTGGTAGAAAATGAAAGAGAATTACCAAAGGAAAAGATGTAGCAGCGGGTAAAGGGCAGAATCCACAAGCACTATGAGTGAAACCTGCTTATGCTACGTAATAGAAATACTTTTCAACGGGAAGCATCGGTCTGTGGAACCTCACATCATGGTCAACTTTAAAGTATTGGTGAAGCAAAAGAAGAACTATTTGTGTAGTAATTTAGAAAATGGGGTTACCCTTCTTAAAAACCTCTCCCCTACATCCTCCACTGGATCAAAAGTTTTGACAAGCGTCTGTTCAGGTGTGTGAGAATGGTGGAGAATAATTTCTGGAAACATACATGTTAAGTGCTTTAAGAAAAAAGAACATGCATGTTAAGTGTTTAGAATGTAAAGAAAGGAAGGATAATATTATTTCTTTCTCTATTTTGTGTTTGGGCTTAGTCTTAATTGATGCACATATGAAACTAATTCAGAAAGAAGGATTGGAGAAAGTTTTCATTTCTTGAGACAAAAGAACCCTAGGTCCAAAACTCACGCTTAAGATGTTGAGACAGTTTCATATCATAACTTAAAGTTTAGTATGAGGAATATGCATTTGGATAGCAGTCAATCTCATTGAATATGCATTGGAATATGTTGAGACACTAATATCTGGCTAGCATCTTTTCCTGGAAAACAGTTGAGCATTCTTTTCAACCTCAATCTCATTAGAACATGCATGTTAACTATATAAATGGTTTACCTTTTACATTTTTCTTGAACCAATATCACCCACCTGATCTAAATCGATTTTTTTGCCTCTGAATTCATTTCCCCATGCTTTTTTTGAAAATCTGTACATGGAAAACAAACGAGGTTCATTTTCTTTGGGATTATGACAGAAAGAAGTAACCTCTGTTTCAGAGGATTGTTCTGTGTTTTTAATTTCTGCCTATGAGACAACTATAACAAAAGAGCATGTCTAAAGAATCATGAAATCATGTCTCACAATTTGTGCTAGTATACCCCTACATTGCTGGATTTTGAGTTCTGATCTCCTTCCAGACATCACTGATGCAGATTTATTATTATTCATTAACCAATCATATCATTTCATTATTTCAAATTCCAAACTTCTAATCTGATGCATAGTTTGTTAATTTTAGTCTTAGCAATAACAGTACCCTAGTTCAATTTTGATTAATACTCTTGACTGTTATCATATTGCTACTAGTAAAGGAGGTTTTGCTGGAAAATTGTAGGTTAGGATGGGTTGTTAGTTTGTGTTTTTAGTGTTTTCTTGGTCTTTCTCATGTCCAGTGAATTCAATGACACTCGGCATTATCTCTGTCATATTTGTATAGAAGTGTTTTTCTTGTCAATAAAGTGTTCACTAATTTAGCATTATGTTTCTCAATATGTCATGTATTGATATTTTTTCTTGGGAGTTCCGACATCATGGTATGTATTATATGGTTTTTAATATATAGTGATGTATTAGCTTGTAAGTTTCTCTTAATATAATTCCATTCCATCTATTGGGAGCATGCTAGATGTGCTTTAGTTGGCCTTCTTACATTGATAAGGACATGTCTCACAAAGGAACTACAAAGTGACATAAAAAATTCATCAAGTAGTTGCCTTTTTGTTTACAATATATTATGACTAGAAAACCTAATAAGAAATAAAATTGTGAATAAAAAAAAAATCACTTTTCTCTGTTTGCATGAGATATAGAACATTATAACTTTTGTTTTCTTTCAGTCCAAGCATCACCGAGATGGCTGGAAATTTGTGAACCTAATGGTCCACAATTGCAGATGCTTACTTTACCCATAAACTTGGTGGCAGAATCAAATATCCAAAGGATTTTTCTTCCTAATTATAACATACCATAGGATATCATGCACATGATTTTGTTTGTTTCTAACCCAAGGATACTTTGTTTATATAGGTGGTGGCAGCAATGGCTTGATTATGTTAACCAAGATATGACTAGCAGCTCAGTTAATGGCTCATCTTCATATGGTGCTCATCATCATGACTCAGCTTCTTCAAGTGCTAAGAGACCTTCAGCTATTGACAATTCTGATTTAATATATGATGCAACATCTAAAGGATCAAATGTTGAAATTGAACTTCATGACACTCTAGTAGAAGGACGTGATTATATATTGCTTCCTCAACAAATTTGGGAAAAGTTGCATGGCTGGTAACTCTTATTCCAGTATCTAATTTTAAATTTTGATTGATTGCTTATCTCATCAAGTGTAGATTTCCTTCAACAAATTTCTCTTATGCGTGTGCAACTAATAAGTGATAGTTGATATGTTCCTTTTACTTTCAATAGATTGAATAATATATTTTAGATTTTTTTCATGGTTGCAAAGGCTAAATTGGGATTATTGTTTCATAAATTTGATGTTGAACTTTGCATCCTAGTTAGTCTATAAAATATCTCTGAAAACATGGACATGGGAAATTATTAAATCAGAAAGTCCTCTTGGAGAACCATATGTTCTGTTAATTTAATTTGCTGCGTTTCCAGGTATGGAGGTGGTCCAACACTGCCACGGAAAGCCATAAATACAGGTTTATCTCAGACTGATTTGGCCATAGAAGTCTATCCCCTACGTCTTCGGTTAACTTTAATGCCAAAAGGAGAGAGAGCAATAATTAGGATAAGCAAGAAGGTTTGTTCTATGAGTTATATTCTATTACTTAATCAGCCATTCTATTACTTTAGGTTGTACATGTGTCATGAACAATAAAAACTTAATTTAACTTGTAATCCCTTAGATAAGATACTTTTATTTGTTTAAATGTGTCATTACAAATGCTTTTATTGTGTCATACACATATAATAATTTGTTTAACTTTTGCAGGAAACTGTTGGTGAACTTCATAAAAAGGCTTGTGAGGTTTTTGATTTAATTGTAGACCAAGTAAGAGGTTATTGACTTACACATTCTGTTCATGTAACTGCTTGATATTAATTTTCCCCATATTTCAGGTTTGTATCTGGGACTATTATGGTGAACAGAAACATGCTTTGATGGACAACATGGATAAAACTCTTGATGATGCAAATATTCAGATGGACCAGGATGTAGGTCTTTGACCACTTTTTCTAGTCCTCTAGTCTTGGAAAACTTCTAATTTGCCTTCGAACTTGTATTCTTATTTAGGAAATTAAGAATGATTTATGTGCTTGGTCGATGTCATTCTTATGGTATTCTGTAATTCTAAATTGTGATGATCTAAATTTTTAGTTGGCTTGTTTAACATGAAGATTAACCTGCTTAAGGTTTTGCTTACTATTTAAGCACCATCTATATAAAAATTCATTTGCATTATGATGCTAATTATAGTAGAATATTGTTTCTGCACAGATTTTGGTGGAGGTTTTCACTGATGGAAATGGTACTGCTGATGTTGGATGCACGATTCCTCTACAGGAAAATGGATACACTGAGAAATATTCAACTTCTGTCATTGTGGAGCCTTCTCAATCAAGTTTATCAGCTGCTGATGGCTTGTCCACAAACAATTATGCTTCCAGAAGCTGCAGTTCGGAGTTCTCACAAAGCCAATATTTGGCTTCCCCAAGTAATGACTTGGATAATTTGCATGGAACAAACAACATTAATACCAGAACAGCTCCTTTGGGTCTTACAGGGCTGTTGAATCTTGGAAATACTTGCTTTATGAACAGTGCAATACAATGCCTTGTCCATACACCAGAATTTGCGAGATACTTCCGTGAAGATTACAGGCAAGAAATAAATTGGCAGAACCCTTTAGGCATGGTTGTAAGTATCTGTCTCAACATTTATTATATGGTGTTTATAATGTCAGAATATAGCTTCAAGAACTTTAAGCCTCTGTTTGAATAAAACAATCACTGATGATAAATATTAATATTGTTTTTCACTAGTATATTGTTTTGTTATTCCGGCTTGTGCTTAATTTTCTCATGCACTTTGTAATTTATATAGCAGTAGTTTCCATGTTTGTTACTGATTCTTATAAGAATTTAACTTGTGTTCACTAAAATACCTTAAGTTTAATGATAGTATGAATCACTTGTTTGAAAATTTCCTCTGATGAGAATTTGATCAGAACAAAGGAAGGACTTATGATTATGATTTAGTCTGTCAAAGTTTGCATAATTCAGGATTTTGTGGCTTGCCTTTGTCGAGGTTCACAAGCACTGAGGCATAATTTACATGCATGCATCATCAGCGTCCAGCCCCATATGTCTAAAGGGCACACCTCTATATGTTAATGATATTAGCAATTTTGTCTTCATCACTACAACAATATTTATGTGACAAAAGGAATTAAACATTATTGTGAAAGGGATAAAAAAATTTGTTAGTTGAGAATGATAGGACCAATCGTAAAGAAGTTTATAACGCATTGAGCTTCGTTCCATCTCGGAAGTGGGAGAAGACTCGAGTTGGTCCATAAGGGTTAGATGGATATGCTATCATTAATTCGGTTTTAAGCATTTTGGGGAACATGATTCTATATTTGTCAAGCTAATGGGTCAACTATTCCATCAAGTCAGATTGTGATAAATAGTATTAGAAATGATATAGTACTAAGCCTGATGAGGTGCCTAAGAAAGTACTATCCATGGACAAGGTTAAATGCACATCACGACATGTAGCTACCATTGGTTAGACTTCACAGGTGCCATGTTAGGGTTTGGTCCTCCTGATGAGGACATTAAACATAAAGTAAAGAAAATTGTAACACCTCAATTTTGATCCCATATCATAAATGGAAGAAGATTTGAGTTGGAATATAAGGCCTTGATGAGTGTTCATTTTCAGCCATGTGGTTTCTAAGCCTATTAAATTAATTGATCAATTATCCCATCTAGCCAGTTCGTTATCTAGTTTTTCTTTTCGTTGAGAAGGTGAATAGTTTGGATGAACGGATTTCACATCATCAGTTTGTCATTTCTCGTTTACTCCTTCCATTATTTCCAATCCCCTTTGCTATTGTTGCTTTCTCCTTTTTGTTGGGTTTCTCTTCCTCCTGTTCTATGCTTTCGTTATTGCATTTGCGAGTAGTACAATAGTTGGGTAATTGAGCCAAAACTCTGTTTTCTTAGAATATCTGATTACTTGATTTATTTCATCTTAATATCATCTTTCATTGCTATCTTGTTAAGTTTTCTTTGCTTCACTAAAGCATGTGTCTTGTCCTTGTGTTTAGGTTCTAAGAGACTTCAGCCTCATAACTTTGCTTACGATTGCCTTTGGGTTCTGCATGGTTATTTTACATTTTGTTTACCTTATCTAGCATGTTCAGTGACATGGACAGAAAATGAAGCCATGTACTTTTGCCACTTCTTCGATGTATTTGAATCGCATCTTATTATGTGATTGGCATTCAGCATTCAGCATGGATATGCACCCTACACTTCTAGCCTGCATTCAGCATGGATATGCACTAAATACTTCAAAGTTGCTGTCCATGCATATTTAATTTATGGCTATTCTCCCTTGTCCAAGTTCCTTAATTTCTTAAAGATGCTACTGTTAGATATATTGAAAACTCAAGTCCACTGTTAAACCTGTTGGCTCATTGTTGATACCCATATAAGTGTATGTCACAGAAAAGTTTCCAATAGTTCAAAATGGTCTAATATTCTCTTGACCTTTTAAGAATATTTGGTGGAGTTAATGCCATATAATCACTGACATTATTGGTCTTTGCATAGTTATTTCTTATGGATTGATTTTATTTAATAAAACACTACAATAAATTTCCGACACAACTCATATGGCAATGCTTGTATTTTTTTCTTTCTATAGGTCATATCTGCATTCCTTCATAAAAAAGATCACATTCATATTGATATGTTCCTAAAACTAATTTTATTTATATACTTGCCTGTAACTTTAAGGGCTTGGTATGTTGTAGTAGTTGCCCACTACTTGCTTTATGGTAATAGACTTGCTTAAAAGCTTAGGAGTATTCTTATGCAACATCTACATTAAGCTGATCATGAGATGGCTACAAGTATCTGAAGTTTATGAACAGCAAATTTCCAAAAGTATAATATATTTTGAAGTACAAATTTTCTGATCTGCATTAAGCATTGTCTTCAAACAGTTGCCAAATGCGGTCTCCCCTTAATGCCCTTTTGGATTTTGTGCAAGGTTGCATGATTTATGCTAGGTAGTTTACTGTATACTGGCTTGTCAAATTTTGTGCTAACTTCTATGCATGTTCTTATCATCTAAGTTTGCACAACCTATGTAATTATGATATGTACCATGCATCCATCCTCGGGCAAAGTGTCTTGACATGCACCTAAATCTTATGAACATCAGCTTTATTTTTCATTTGCAACTGGAAAAATGTTGATTTCATGATGTAGAAATCCAAAAAAGTTGAATCTGTATGCAATTGATATTCTGAGTTTTGCGAATAATGTGTTCTGGACATTGATTTATAATGTTGGATGTACTAAATTACAGTGGTAGTCATGCAGGGTGAGCTTGCTTTAGCTTTTGGGGAGTTACTAAGAAAACTTTGGGCCCCTGGGCGTACTCCTGTTTCCCCTCGACCATTTAAAACAAAACTTGCTCGTTTTGCACCCCAATTCAGTGGAAATAATCAACATGACTCTCAGGTGTTACCGTTGTTTAAACTATTTCGACTCAACTTGGTAAATGTAGATTCCTATGATGCAACTCTATACTCATTTTCATTTAGGAACTTTTGGCATTTTTGTTGGATGGACTTCATGAGGACCTGAATCGTGTGAAGCATAAACCTTATATTAAATCCAAGGATACAGATGGACGACCAGATGAAGAGGTCGCTGATGAGTATTGGGCAAACCACATTGCTCGAAATGATTCTATCATTGTTGACGTATGCCAGGTAGATTTTGCAAGAACTCAAATGAAAATTTGATACATTATGATAATATAAATTTGATGCACTGCCTAACACTTGCTTCTTCTTTTCAGTATTCTTAGATATCTTTAGCATAATGATGACAATCAGATGTGACTATGTAGCTCTATGAATTGCATTTCTTTCATTTTAGTTTCTTATACTTGATCTTTGAACTACTTATGTGCGCTCAACCTTTAACAAGTTTGGCATTGTTGTGGTGCTCAATGCATTATCCAGATTTCAAACAAACAACAGGGTATACCATGTCAGTATGGGAATTTATGTAATAATGTTTTTGTTCTTGGGAAGGAGACCAAGGTGCTGAAATGGTCTCACATTCCTAGGGTTTCAAGTTTTGTTGCCCACAAGCTTGCTAACAAGGCAAGGATCGGAGGGCATTCTTACTGGTTAGATGCCACCACTGATTTTTGTAGCTTGGCTAATCTTCTGAATTCATGATCTTTAATTTTCTTTCAAAAAAAAAAAAGTTTGGCATTGTTGACTCTTTTGTATGTTAGATCTGATTTTCCACAAATAACATTTCTGAAATTAGAAAAGGAACATAACAAAATTATAGCTTTGTTGTTGTTGTATAAAAGGAATATAACATAATGGGTTTCATCATAGAATTGACCAATTGGTATGTTAAGTGTTATTTTTTGGGGATTTGGAGGTGTTGAGGGTAGCCCACAAGACCCATCTCATTGCACAGCCGCTTCAATGTTAGGTATCTTAAAGTTTAGCACAAGTGGATGGCCCTTCGGAGTTCGGACCACAAAGTTAGACTCGACCTAGCTTGTACCTGCAGGACAAACTCGAGAAAACCATTTGGTGCTTGGCAAAAGAATGCTTGGTTCTTCCCGTAGGCCCTCAACCCATAGTCCTTATGCAAGCCTACAACACCCTCTACATTGGGCCGTCAGCCTATAGCCTATATGCTGGGCATGTGTCAGTTTCCAAGCCTATCCACAAGATATTACATGATAACCTCTGCAAGCATCCTCACCAACTATTATGCTGGAACAAGACATGGATGACTTGTGTGAGGGGTCGGCATCCTGCCCTAGGATCTCTTGATCATGATTCGCCTTATTCGTCCGTACTGGTATACCGATCGACCATCGGTATGTTATGTACCAACATACTGACACATGATATAGTGGGGTATACCCACAAATTGGTATGCACCGCTCATACCGATTCCCTATTGGACTGGTACATACCGCCCATATCGGGCGGTATGCCATGGTATGGTGAACCTTGCTCTTGATCATGTATGATCGGGGTCACGAGTGGAATCATCACCTTTTAGCTGCCTGACATCCTTGCCACCTGAATGATACCTTCCACTATTGATGGCTCAGAGTTCTCCCTCGAACAACCTTACTCAAGGAGGCCCTTCCTTTGACTGAGGAATGCATGCATCGACACTCAAAGCTGTTACTTTGTGTTGCTGTCTTGCTTCCCATGTCTTCTTGTAGTAAGCCCCAGGATTCGGATGGAGACCATCTTATGCTGTTTAGCTGTGTTTGCTGGTAAGAAGATTGGTTTTCTCCATTGATGCCTGGTAGTTTATATTATATAATAGAAATTGTTGATTTCAATTTTGTTATATAGGGGCACCTAGGTCGCTTCAATGAATTTGGCCACCTAATTTAAACCGATTTAAATTCTTCAGCTTGACATGTTTGGCTAAATATATTCTTGACTTCAGAGACAATAACTCTAAAGTCCCTTTCTGTTAGCCTTTTGTAGACTTCTAGTGATAGCTTCTTTTGGATACAACAACAACAATGCTATTTTGAAAATTCTTGGTATTTGAACTTTTAATTTGGACTAATATAAGGATTATTTAGTTTTAAATGACTGATCAGCTTCAACTTTACTTGAGAAAATATGGTAATACTTAGTATTGATTGTGTTTGTAATAAAAAAATTGAAAAATCATACCACCTAAATTTATAAGGCGGTCTGCCTAAACACCTAGGTGATGCTAGGCATCGAGGACTGTGCTTCCTATGGAACTCCTGATTGCTTGACAACCTTGTGTGGCCAAGGAATCGATGACTTATTACCAACAGGGTTAGTTACTCTACCACATTGTAATGGTTATGCTTTTAGTGAACCAACAGGTTGGGGGAAAAAAGTACTACATGTATGCCTGAGGCTATTAGTAGCCTTTAACAAAAAACTAGAGCATTAAAAGGGCATTAATGATTATGCTTTTCCTGTAGCATTAAGTTAATATTGACTGAAAAAAAGACCATTCAGTATATTACTTGTGATGTTTTTGTGAATGTAAATTAGGGAATGTCCTTCCCCATTTAAAATATTCCAAGAGTTCAAACTAATAATACGAAGTCAACACCATTCCTTTATGCTAAGGTTCAAAATTTTCCCCATGTTAAACGTCTTTCATAATTAGGACATCTGTCAAATTTATCCAACAGAGTTAGATCTATAAACAAACAGCCTGACACTGAAAACTTCTTTAGATCCTGTTTTATCTAACATTATTTTAGGACTTAGAAGGCAGTATTAGAAGAATTCTATTAGCATTTTCAAGGGATCGTTTGTTATTTTACTGTTTTAATGTTGCTAAACAAAAACCTCATGGTGCTATCAGAAAATACTGGAATCTTGTTTTACTTTATACATGCAGCCAAAGTAGCCTAAATTTACTGCATTAGTGGTTTGATGGTAGAGTTTGGCATTAAAATATATAAAAGAACAAGTGAGCCATGTCAAGATAATTATTAAGATAACAGAAAAAGGGAACCTTCCCACAATGCATGGAAATACTTGTTTGGATAAGAAAAATCTTTGTTTTCATTTTTCTTTGCTGTTACACAATCAAACTTCATTTTCTGTGGCTAATTACTGTAAATTTGACAGGGGCAATACAAATCCACTCTGGTCTGTCCTGTTTGTGGAAAAGTTTCTGTGACTTTTGATCCATTTATGTACCTCTCGTTGCCTTTACAATCTGCTTCCACTCGGACTATGACTGTCATGGTTTTCACTAGTGATGGTAGTGCTCTTCCAACAACTTGTACTGTAAATGTACCAAAGCATGGTCGGTGCCGGGACTTAATCCAAGCTTTAAGCAATGCTTGCTCCTTAAAGAATGGGGAGAAACTTCTACTTGCCGAGGTTTGTGGAACTATACTTTTATGAGATATGCAGTTGTCAAGGCATTCAACCATTGGAGTAATATTCTAGTGTCTAATGCATAAATTTTAATTGAATCAATTTCACAGATACGTGGCCACATGATCAATCAACTTCTGGAAGATCCTCTAACGCTGCTATCAACCATCAAAGATGATGATCGCCTTGTAGCTTATAAGATCCTAAATGTTGTGAAGAACACTATTTATCTTCAGTTTGTACATCGTCGTGAAGTGTAAGTATTCTTCAGATCAGTATCACTTGTCTGCATATAAGGCTCAATATCAATAAATGAAGTTACATAATAGAAATTATGGTATGGGTTCTTACTCATATTTGTAGTGGAAAATGTTGTTTAATTATCTAATTTATCTTTTTTATCCAGTCTCGCGACACATTTTGTAGAGTATACTCCTCGATCCTTGCTATTTATATTCATTTTATATTTTACAAACCTTGTAGGCCCTTGGTTTTTGGCTATTTCTGCTATTGTCAGTCTTTAGTCATGCTACCCTTTTGATTTTGCTATATCATTAGCAATACCAGATTTACTTTTTCACTCGGCTGTTCCAATCACATATTATATCTCACAGGGGACCTGGAAATATCAACAGCTCAGTGGCCTGGGAATTCTATGGAATACCTTTGCTTGCATCAATCTCACGAGATGAAATTGTGACAGGTGCTGCTATACAAGAGATACTTCAGATAATGCTTGCCCCTATGCTAGGAAGTGAGGAATTACAGCCTTTAAGCATGTCAGGTTCCAGCATGAATGCAGCATCACACAATCATCAAGACACAGCCAATAAAGCATGCTTAGATTCTGATGAGAGTCAGTTGAAGGATCAAGAACTGAACTGTAAATCAGAATCAAGCCACAAAATGCACCTTCAATTGGTTGATGAAAATAATGCACAGGTTGACTTGTCATCGGTAGAAAATCCTATTATGATGCCTGGGTCATCAATAGTTTTGTTTATTAACTGGTCAAAAAAGGATCTCAAGAAGTATGATACACATCACTTTGAGAATCATCCAGAAGTGTTCAAGTATGTTCCTGCACCAAAGAGGACTCGTGGTGAACCTCTCTCACTATATGCATGTTTGGATGCTTTCTTGAGAGAAGAACCACTAGTGCCTGAAGATATGTGGTTAGTATAATTTCTTGTTGCTTGGTTAAAAGTAAATGTTTCTTCAGAGATTCTATTGTTCCAGTTAAAAGTATCCAAGGCATTGTTTCACAAGTTAATGAGATAATATTTAGCTTCATAGGGTTAATGCAGATGCTTTATGGAGAATAATGAGACATTTTGCTTAATGTTATATTTTAAATAGATGATATTTACTGCTATCCATAAAGATAAACTGAAACTCTCAGCAATTATCTGTAGACTTCATACTTTCTATTTAATTTTGTTTTGCTTCCATATTTTGTGGATGTCAAATCATCTGCACTTCTTGGCCACTAGTTATTTTGGGATAGTTTAGTACATAATTGACACCTCAAAGCAAGCATATGTTTTCGTTTTCTGTGAAAAAAACAATGGTAGTTCCCATGCACTTTTCTATTTTTTGACACCTTTGTTGCTTCCAATCTCAGTAACTCCGAAATGTGGTTATCCTGTAGGTACTGCCCAAGGTGCAAGGAGCAACGACAAGCCAGCAAAAAGTTGGACCTCTGGAGGCTTCCTGAGGTTTTGGTTATTCATCTGAAAAGGTTCTCCTTCAGCCGGTCGACAAAGCATAAGCTGGAAACTTTTGTTAATTTCCCCATTCATGACCTCGATTTGACGAATTATGTGGCACACAAGAAAGGCTCTCAGCGCCAGATATATGAACTTTATGCCTTAAGTAACCACTATGGCAGCATGGCGAGCGGGCATTACACTGCACACATAAAGGTGAGTTTTCACTGACTGTATATTGTATGCTATATCCAGTTTTCGGAATAATTGAGCATGTTGATGAATGTGGATCGTCCTTGAATGGTTTCTATCAAAAATTGAGCAACTAATTTGTTGACACGTATAAAAGCATGAATGCAATGATGGGGTTACCTGGTTTGGTATTGATGTGCCATGTTCGCAGCATGTCATGCCTTGGAATGTCATAGTATGTTGGAATGGAGATGACTTAAGCATAAATTGATCCAACCAAATGGATGTACACCTCTACACTGCCTTCTCATTGTAAATAGTGTAATTATAGTATTCCTTCCTCAAGTTGCATTATTTCGTACATAAAGTTCTATTGGCTTGTAATTATCTTAGTTATGCAACTAGATGTAGTTTGTGATTGAAACATGCTTGTATCACAAGAGCAAATGGAATTTTTATTGAAATCACAATGTTTATAATTGTTACTGCCACTATTTGGTTGTAGCTTCCGTTCCTCTCTAGCGAGTTAAATAATGAAGGCTAACAATTATTTTCATTATAATTTTCTTCTTTTTTGCAGCTTCTAGATGAAAATAGATGGTACAATTTTGATGATAGCCATATTTCACCTATCAATGAGGAGGAAGTGAAATCTGCTGCAGCCTATGTGCTCTTCTATAGGAGAACTAAAGGAGAAGATGCGTCGACAAGCATTGGTGCTGAATCATATGCAAACAAAAATCACAGTTTAAGCAGAAGATGATTTTGGCTGCTACGGGTTATGTGCTACCGCATGCATGCTTCCACAGTGAAGAGCAGATAGTAGGTAGCAAATATGCGACGGAATCGTCATGTATGATTATTCAAGACTTATGTTTCATTGATATCTTTATGGTGCTCCAGCCTCAGGACTTTTGGGAGGATTATGCTCTATAATTTTTGTACATGCGCTTTATGTAGTCCACCAAAAATGAACCACTTTGCGATGGTGTAACTCATAAGTTAAATGGGAAAAAAATCAGTTTACCTTACACCAGTCTGTGGCGTGATATGAGCTTTATTTCTGTGCTTGAGGATTAGCAGTATTACTAGTTTATCCTCTTTTGTTCTCTGTACTGTAATCTCTGTAATCTACAATGTCATTAACAGGTTGAATCAAGTTCTTATAAGCATAACATGCACAAGATTTGTATTTTAGAATCAACAAAAAGTTTTAAAGCCAAGATGGTTGGAAATAACCTTTCACTATCTCTAGTCTTTTTAACTGCTCTTGATTCTGATGTTCTAATGGCACAGCTTGTTTTTCACCTTTAATTCAGGAACGCTTGTTTGAATCTCAGGACAGTTTGTACAGGTGGTTCACTGAGTGTTTAAGATTGTTCGTGCTGAAGTTGGTGGCAGATTTGGGATGGTTAATTAATCTCTGATTTCATCCAACTCGTCCGAGATGTTCTTGACCTGTAAGATGACCGACTTCATGTGAGATTCTCGATACGGTTCTTTTGATGCTCGAGATAGAATCTCAGCTTCATGTGAGATTCCCGATAGGGTTCTCTCGAGATAGAATCTTGAGATGGGTTTTATGGTTAAGAGAGAGAAGTATCAAACCTCCATAGCTATGCTTGCTTCCATCTTTTAATCGGTCCTTCCCTACAATCAGAAACTCTAAGCTTTGTTGTTTGGTTGCTTAATGTATAAGGTAGAAACAGACCAAAACAAAAAAGGAAGAACCAACAGACAAAGAAACCCAAAAATAAAAGAACTTCGATGACTTAGTCGAAGAGCACAAGACACTAGAACATACAGCATCAAGAATCCGACGGAGAAGCAACGAAAAGAACGAAAAACCAAAAGGAAAACATGGAACGATCCACAAAGGAGGAAGAAATTTGAGGATCCAACGCAAAGATCAGGGAGGAACAAGCGGGCGACGGATCCCTAGAATCAAACTAATCCAAAAACGAGAGAGGAGTTACAGAGCGAGATGGTGTACCTGATCAGCAGAAGCGCTTCGATCGCCTCGAAATCGCATCTCTCTCGCATTCTTGCTCTCCGACCTCGCTTTCGATCTCGGGAAGACCGAATCATCGAAGCGAGGAGCTCCTCCGTGCATGCTCTTTTAAGTAGTCGTGTCATGCGTGCGGTTCTTCAACAATCCAACGGCCAACTGGACCCACCGCCTTAGCGTAAGCTAATCACGGGCCGAGCCAGGTCACTTAATTTAAACTTCCAATGTATATATACGTGGCACTATTAATCAGATGGATGCGCTGTGCGACACACGCCGTATCTTACCAACTCGTCGTTACCCTCACGATTAGTGGGACAACTGAGAACACAATGCGGGGTCCACACCGAGGGGCTTCTCTTATTTCGGGTCGGGTGGAGCAGAAGAAGAATAGTAAAAGACTTCACGCTACCACGTTAACTTGTTCCAGCGGCGTGCTCGTTTCAACATCGTCCATCATCAGCTCCCAAAATCCTTACCTTTTCCCTTGCTTGCGAAGAGAACCCCAAACAAACCTCGAGTCCGATGTTGAGGTATGGAAGACTGCCATTACCCAGTCTTTTCCTCTTCGTTTTTGTTGGATCATTTCTTCCAATTCTCATCCCATTCTGTTTCGAACATTTTGATGCAGCGTGGAGACGTTTGGGGGCGGAGAGGCAGCGGCGGTGGGGGGCAAAGGCTGCCGAAGCGTGGGATGGATGAAGGGGATGGCGGCGCGTCTGTCGGTCGCCTCGATCGTTCTCGTCATCTGTACGTTGTTGCTGTTCTCGGCGATCGGCGTCACGCGGCCGTCGAACCTAGATTTCCGGATTCCTGGAATTCTGGAGGTTAGTCGCATTGTTTCGATGTTTTCGTTCCTAAATTGGACCCAAGGTCGGGATTTGGGGTTGTCTCGAAGCCTAGGCTTTGCATCAAGAACGCGATGGGGTACGGCCACTTGGTTTGTAGCAAAGGTAAAACGGTGGAGTAGAGCAATATTCCACGGAACATAGACAACCACTGACCTTTAGGACATTTGCTAGTTGCTTTGCGTCATAGTTCATGAATCAAGGAGTAGAACAAACCTGACCCTGTACCGAAAAATATCTTCATCACAGAGTTGTGTTGGAATAGAAATCGGCAATACCTTGCATAAGGGCTATCATTTTCTACTTAGTTTTAGTTCTCCAACGTTTCAATTGATTCATAAGCTGCATGGTTTGGCTTCAAAAGAGTATATCTCCAGAAAGCCATGTGATGCTGCACGATGTTGAATGATTGAATCCATTATATCTGTCCAAAACTTCTGCATCTGTATATTTCAATGATTACCGAAAGAGCAAACTCAAATTTGGATATGGCATTCTTCAAGATACAGGAAAAACAATCAAGATAAAAGAAAAAAGAGTTTAATGCCCATTGTGTAAAGAAATGAAAAGACACACACACTTTGAGAAACAGAGCTCCGAGAAACAGGATTTGGCAGGCATACATCTCCTAGACTCTCTACCACAGAAGCTTTCACTTCAAAATCCAGCTTAGGCACCCACAGCCCTGGAACAAGAATAAAGAATTTCGTTATAACATGATCGGTAACACAAGATTTTTTTCTTCTTCGCGATGAACATCCAACATTGCAGTGGAAAAATGAAGAGCTCAACAACTTTGAACTTTTAACATTGGGAAGCCCATGTTAATGATTTTCATGTTAGAAGTCTGATAGCCATCCGAGAAGTAAATGTGCTACAAGCGTAGTTAGATATTTACTATTAAGATTATTCTGATTTGGTTTGTGCAGTAGATAGTACAAGGATAAAAATGAGAACTTCTGACCTTAGTTTTGTTGCTTTCTTGCTTCTGACTGCTTGGCGTTGGTGGGTTATATGGAGTACCAGGGTTTCTTCGATTATCAGCTATTATGTTGAAGATGCCAGTATACTTCTCGCCAGAGGCTGGATCGTTCTCATCCCATCCAGCAAAAGGTGGCACCGTGACATCATGGTGAGGCTGCTAACCAATAAGCAACATTAGCTTGCCATTCATTTTCGACAATTTTTTTTGTTGTTTATGTTCCTGCAATTTTTGCAGTGTGAGCATGCAGCATCATAGAAATTACTGAAGAAGCATCATAGAACTTACGGTTCCATAGGCTCGATCACTGGGATTTGTTCTAACTCTTCCTGGAGTGTCTTCTGGTGCTATCCTTTTGTCTGATGGAGGAGCATCATTTGCAGTTCTCTCAGCAGCAGGTTTACCCTGATATCTATCACGGCTTCTGTTTGGTTTCTTCTGGTTGTCACCATAATTTGCTCGGGCCACATGCTGTCGATCGCGTGGGTTTATTGGGGATTTATGAATGACACCTTCGTCATGTACAGAAGGTGTATCAGTTCGATGAATTGGCTTTGCATCCCTAGGTTTGGCGGCCTCGGGTGTAAATGGAGCCGCATTTTCTGGTGGTGGTATATCTTTAGCGGTTGTCTCGGAGTTTTCATTACCATCATTTAAATTGGTGGTAATTTTCCTGTCTTTTGCCCCCTGGGTTTGATTGAAGTATTGTCTATAAAGGACAGTTTCAGCAGTTTCCCGGTTGCCGAATTTGTGTTCTTGAGTTTGTTGCTGCATCCGAATCTGCCATCAGATTAAAATCAGAGTGGAAGCCGGATCATCAGCAGAAATATGAGAAGGCTTTGCCACACTGAAATGGACAAACGATGTCTCCTACAAGGATTCTACCGGTGTAGAAGATGCATGGTGCTTTGTCCTAGATTCTGAAGAAACCAGGCAACAATTTATCTGAATAAAGGCACAGTCTGATCCAAGAAACACAAGATGCAGAAAATACAAATGAAAGCACAGTTGGAAGTTGAAATGTACCACAGCCCAGAATGCTCTTAAAATGAAGCATCAAATCCCATGAAAGCACCAGAGTTTCCAGAACTCGGCTATGCGAATATTAGTTGACAAGAGAACAAAACAAGTTGATCGAGCTTGCAATGTTCAGGCATATATATCCCTTTGATGTACCAAACGCACAACCACATCTATGTTAAGGTAGCAAAAGAGAGAAAAATCTGATGACTTTTTCTTGCTCAAGTTGCCTTGTTTGTGATTGAAAGCAGATGTTTAGTAACAACTAATGTGAAGTATTTTCAATTCAAAATTAGACTTGTGGAGTGAAACTGAGAGAGTTATTGTTATTTAGGCAATAATTTTGTTCACTCTGAAAGAAGAAAATAGAAATGAGAAGCTTGGTTTTTTCTTTTGTTATGAATAAAGAGGAAACTCTGTTGCGTGAAAACTAGGCAATAAAAGATGAACCAGAAATATCCTCCTCGAGCATTAGCATTATCTATCTTGGGAAAGAGGCAGAATAGATCAAAAGAAAACAATCATAAAATTCCAGAAATGAAACGTTTGTGTTGCTTCTCATCCAACTCGGTGCTTCTAAACTAGACATTCCTAAAATTCTAAATTCCCCAAATTCCCATCCTTGGATCCTTGAATTTTCACTTCTTAAACATACGAGAAAATTATGTTCTCCGCGAATGAGATGGTAGAAAAAAAAACCCACCCAAATCTATTCAATTTTCCAAAAAAGGAAGCAGAACAAAAGCATACACCCATCTAAAACAACGAAAACCGAAAGTAGCAACAAGATCCGGTATGATTTAAGCTTCTTTCAAGAGAACCAACCCAAGAACAGGCGAGAAGGAAAAGGCCTCACCGCCATTAATCGATGCCTTCGGTGTAGAATAATGAGCGGAATTCTTCAAAGCGACAAAGGTGGCACCTTTTCTCCTCCCACGGAGTGTCCCTACGGCACAAGCGAAGAAAGGCACTTCAATGATCGCTTTTTTTGGATGGGAATCGAGAAAGCAAATGGGGAGGGGCAGGGAATGATGATTGATATAGTTGACGAGCGGTGACTTGGCGATGCTTTTGAAGTCTTCCTGGGAGGTGGAAACGTACATGGGGCAACCAAGCAGGAAGACCACTTTGTAAGTTACTTGTGGTGACTGCTACAGTGTATAGTTCTATATAAATAAAAATATATTTTATTTTAGATGAAAATAATTGCATCATAGTTGCAAACATGATAAATATTAAAACACCAACTATACCTTAAAAAAAAACTTGCAAAAATACTAATATATATATATATATATATATATATATATATATATATATATATATATATATATATGGACTTTTTCTGGTTTGTGTCTGGTAAGCTTGTTCCTTGTGGAGTATGGACTTTTGGTCTCTCTGTTGAATTGATGGTTGGACTTTGAACATCACACTTTGAAGAAGTTGGAGAATTGACTGAAATGGGGAAAGGAATAGAAAATAGTGATGAGAAAGTAAAATAAGCATTTGTATGATGAATCTTGGATTGTGATTTTTGATATATTCTCTTACAAATGCACAAAATGGAGAAAGAAGTCATTGTGTTCATCAAAACATTTTCCAATATATATATATATATATATAAAGCCAACTGTTGAAGCTTCCATGTAAAATCATGGTTTGTGAGAGAGAGGTAGGAAGTTTCATCTCCCTTGTTTTGTTGGAAATTTGTTCCATTTGTTTGACCAGAAGGTATAGGTGGTTCTGATCAAGAAACAAACTTTGAATCATGGTTGTCAACCTATTTGAATTTTCAGAAATTAATATAAGTATTCCTGAAAACCAAACAAATGTATGATGCAAACCTAAATGAAGAACAAGTATTGCAATAAATAATTTTAATTAAAATTAAAAATTAACTACTTTGATATCATGATAAATATTTCGATCATCAGATGATCAGGAATCCCAAAAAGCTGTTAGAAAAGAATTCATAAGCATCAAAGAACCTTACCGAGGTAGAATTTTCATCAAACATGATCAGATTGTTCTGTGAAGAAAGAATATTGAGAATGGAGTGTTTGAACTGACTTCAACCCTTCCTAGGAGACTAAATAATGGATACTCTTTAAAGACCATTAATTTGGCCGGTTGCAGATTGCAGAAGAGTTTGAATTCCAAGTCAATTGATCTGCAGGAACCTGAACCTGGCCCCTACTGAGTGCCTTGGAAAGTCATGATGCTCTGGAAATAATCTGACCGGTGACTTCTCTACCCACCAACATCAAATGGACTTGTAGTAGGCACCAATCCTACAAAGTTTGAACATCCATCCATCTTCAATAGTGATATACTTGCAATAAACATTATAAAAAATGACCGATGATTAACCTTTCAAGTCTTACCTCTTATCTATAAGTAGAGACTGACAATTTTACCATGACGGTAAGGCTCATTCTCAACCTCGACTGACCACAATCCACTCAGATTTAACAATGACTGGATGGATGATGCCAAATTGTCAAGAACAGCTTGGGAGACCATTTCAAGGATGAATTTTCCTTTTCCGAATAAAAAGCAAATGTACTCTAATATCATTGGAAGATTTCGATACATAAGATCCAAACTGAAATATATACTGAGGAAATTGGACGAAAATCACAGAAATAAAGGTTAAAACAAAACTGAGAAAGATTGTTTTGTTCGAATACAGTCATTGGCTATGATCTGAGGAGGAACTGCTAAAACAAAACACTCACAAGTACACAATATAACTATAATGTTATCAGAACCAACAGAAGAAACATCAACAAAAATAGAGAATTTTACATCAATGAGTCGTATGAATATTTACTTCCAAAATGAACCCCTTTTGCATGTGCTAATTAGTTTAGCTGATAAACATCTTGTCAGGTCACAACTCCATAATAAATCCTTGTTGAACACTTCAGAATGTAGTCAACAAAAACACAGACACACACAATAGGCGCAATCATTGAAAAACCAGCAACCGAGTCTTGCATCGTGTGAACCAGCAGCTGAGTTGACACTTCTCAACGATGGACCATCAGCAATGATGCTAACCTAAGAAATAGTCAGAGAATAAAGAAAGGGACTTTCAACATTTTCCTCATCGTGCTTCACTAGCTTGCGACGTCATTTTGTGAAGCTAGAACCCCTTCAAAGGTGATCGAGGTTGCGCCCACCTCCACCCAGGAAAGAAAAGAATTGAAAGGCCAATATGTATGTTGCTATATGTGCGCATGCACGAAACTTGACATATTTCAAAGGCTGAAATAGTCCAAGAAACAAAAGTAATGCTTTACCATTTGAGAAATATATGTTGCTGCAACAAATAAGTCACTAGGCAAATGGAACCACGTCAGAGTAAGTCACACCAACACTTGCTGCAATCAAGAAATATATGTTTACTACGACAAAATACATGAATATCTCATGTGAAAGAAACATATCCAGCAAACAATAAATAGCTTCCACGTGAGGCTTGATTTAGTAGAAGGGTATACCAAATTGATCCCAAGTGGAGCAATTCCTTGTTACTTCCGCAAACTTCGTTTAGACATTGTGCCTGCATCACTAATCAACATAGTAAGGCCAATGAGCAAAAAGATCGGTAAGAATTTATTTGATGTTAATCATTTGTGGAAGCTCTTCGGTATCAGAATCCGGAAATTCATTTGAGGATCTCTCCCTTCTGAGGCTTTACCAATGAGGATAAAATGAATGATCTGCAATACTGCATGTTAATCTCCAGTGGAACGTGAAGCTGAATTGTTTGATTTGTTGGACATATTTGAAGGGTCTAAATCATCACTTTCTTCATTTTGCAGTTGTCCATCCAGCGTTTCCATTATGTTATCCGGTGGGCATTTGTCAGCAGGATCCTTCGGTGACATTTGGCAGAAGCACTCAGGCCATGAGTTCGTGTAAAAAGACTCAGGGTGGACGCGCTTGTGCGGCCCACCAAACTTGGAATTGAACATGACCTGCCTGATACGATCCTCAAAATCAGCTGCACGGCCTTCTTCTCTGTCCATGAATATAGGAGCTAAAGCTTTCCTGTTGGGTTGGATTGTCGTCCGGAAGCCATAATACAGACGATGGCCCAAGAGATTATTTGCAAAATTGCTTGGGCCATCATATGTCGGCATAAAAATGTCAGAGAGAAGACAAACCATATAGTCCACAGCAGAACCAACAAGTCCTCTAGCATTTTCTTCAAGCTTTTCTGATGGTCCTACTGTGCTATGGTTCTCAAGGTGAGGGAACATTGTCCTGAATGGTTTCATGAAGCGATCACCACCAAAAAGTTCACCTGCAGCAATGTAGATGCGTGTGGTGTTGTCAAATCCCATAGACCGTAAGATGAGTCCTACCTGTTCAGTAAAAAGAGCCCACAGTTATTTCAAGAGGCATAATTATCCCAAATATTGGGGAGAGATCAGTGGAGGGATCATTGTGAATGCTTAAGGTGCCGCTTAGTTTGATACGTGAATTAACCATTAAGATTTTTGTGAAGCAATAAGGATGTATGAAAAAAGAGAAGCAAAAGGAGAAGCCAGTAACATGGCAAAACAGGATGAAGATAAAAGAATGTTTGCAAAAATGTCTATACATGTGTATACCTGGTTTACAGTGTCCAGAAACATCTACGCATTTCCACACAGCAATAAAAACATCAATATATTCGCAATTGTTTTAGCAAACAAGAGAGATTTGAAAAAATGAAAGAAATATTTGGAGGAGAGTACAAAAAGGGTGACACACATGTAACCAGATGTTAGCATATTGAACATATTTATTTGTGGTTCATCTAAGATGACCAATTCAGTATTCTGTACTGGTTTTATGCTATCCTCAACTTATTAAGCACAGTTGGGATACAATGATGATCGAAGATGTTCACTTAATGACTGCAAAGAGTATGTCCTTGTACAGTGCAAAATGAAAACAAGAGTGTAATATAAAAAAAAAATTGTAACCAGCTGCAGAATCAATACAACAATTCAGGATATTCAAGTAATATACAAGTTAGAGAATCAATGTAATGTTAACAAAATTAACAATTAGACTAACTAAATTAGATAGACAAATCAAAACTGTCTTTAATGATATCTAGATCACAAGGGCCAATGTTTGATTATCTAGATGTAAAGCAGAACTTGCAATATCATGTTGCATTCTCTATGGTACAAGATGTAATCGACAACAGGTGCCTTACACTATATCTGCATATTTTGTCATTTACATTTGAAGGTTAGGAAATATAACGTACAGAGTTCCTGAAAATTTTAAACTTGCTGGACAACAAGAGAGCAAGAAAAGAAAAAAATTATTAATTTACCTCTTCTGGTGTTAATGGGCACTTCCCAATGAGCCTCCTCTCTCTATAAACAAGTTCCTTCTCTGCAAAGTTCTCCTTTCGGTATTTGATTAGAATTTTCTGCTCCTTGGGAGTAAATATATCCACACAGCTGAGAACATTGAGTATTCATTTCTGAGCTAGGTATTCTTATTCCACAATTCAACAACTTAATGACACCGTTTGGATGAAGTATAGAAATTGTTTACTTCTTCAGTTAGAATCAATTTTCTTAACGCATTAAGTTGTCAATCAAAATAAGGATTCTTATCGACACATAATGTGAAAAAAAAATTCTTCAGTGCCTGGAAAAATTAGCACCTCATGGACTTTTATACCAAAAATGTGAAATCTAATGCATACTAAATTTCATGCATGTGAACTTTTAAAAAAACTGTTTGTCTAAATAATCTAGATTATCACCACAACGGCTTGCTCCTTTCTAACTAAGGTGACTAAATCTTCTCTGCTTGCAAGAGTAAGAGAATACATTAACCCATATCAGTAGGAATCTCGCCCACTAGGCTGCAATTCTTTTTTTTTTCTTTTTCCAAACAACATAATGTTAGTTTTCTGACAAGAAATATGCTTAAAATCGTCATGACTCTCAACAAGTTTGCAATAAATTTTTATATCTGTGAAATGGTGTGAGGCAACCAGATGCTTCTACAAAGTTTGGTGCTTTGACCAAGGTACACAAAGATACCTTTGTTGTTTACAGGAACATGCATGATTTAGCTTTCCGAAGTAGACATGTGGATTTAGCCATCAGTAAGGGGTTTGTGGCCAATATTGTAGGAGTAGTGGTCTACTACTGGATACCAAAACTTATCTGGTTAGGTTCTTGGGGTCAACAACATGCTTGACTTCAATGCAATATGGATCTTTATGATTGCCAAACTAGGTTGTACTTTGAGAAGTTAGAGATCATGCGTATGACAAAAATAATTTTCCAATGATTAACCAAGTATTTCCTAGTTTAAAGGAGTATACATCTTGTACTGCTTGTAGAGCATGTAGGATTCAGATAGTAAGCTGATAATGACAAAAAGTTTGTGTTGCTAGAGGCTGCAAGCTGAGAAGTATTGAAGGATATTTGCAACCGATGAGATGGACTTTTCTGATATCAATTATGCAGATTCAGTTACATGAGTGGTGCAGAGAAGCAAGGCACAAAAAATTTCAGAAGAAAGTGATTATCTAAAACTAAACATTTGTCATCCTCTTTAGAATCAGAGTCAATGAGTGCATATAATGATAAATGAATGCTGGCTTGCATGATTGCATAAAATATCTGAGCTAGATGATAAGATTGCATACCCAGCAAAAGCAAGCATATCCATCTCAAATCGAAGGTGTATAGACATGAAATGTCCCTGCGACCGGAGCTTATCCACTATCTCGGTGCTTAATTTCATTATATGTGGCTTGAATCGAAGTGCATGATAGTTCACTCGGCATCTCAACCTCTGGAGTTCAGGGGCATCAATATCCTCGGCTAATCGATGTGAAAATGGTGTGAGGTAGATAGCACGATGTTCCTTCATTTTTTCCAAAGCAAATGTAGTATACCAGCTAAGAGGAGCATCTCTAGGTGGCCGAATCTGCAAATAAAAAATATATCTGTACTCAAGAAGAATCTTATAACTACAGTGTGTGCATACCAAGTAGAAAATGTTGATCATTCAGAAGGTGTCAAATTAAACTTCAGAAACCTGATAAGATTTCATCTTCTTTGTCTTTCCCTTTGAAGAGACCTCTGGGAGGCTCCGCACAATATGGATATCATATCTCAATGCCTCAATAAAATGCTCAACATCATAGATACCTGGAAAACCGCTGGGTCGGGGAGCAAACATCCAAATGAATACAACAGAAGAGCAGACAAACTCTAAGTACAAAAGCAAAAGAACAGGAAAATAGACAAGGGAATTGTAACACAGACATTAATTAAATTTTTGAATGGGTAGAAAAAAAAATCTACCTATTCTCAAGAAAAAGAAAGAAACAAAAAAGGACACCCTAGATCCAAAGAGAATCTAAGAGTAGTGCCTTGTTGCCAATCATGGATGTCTTTGGATGCTTTCACAAAACTGGCGGTCAATGGCAAGGAAACAAGTAGCTACTGACTGCACAATGGCTAAGGGCCATCAAAATTACAAGCTAAAGGAAAGATTATTGAGAAGCCAGAGAATTCTGTCCTTAAATGTTTATAAAGGGTTTTCCAGTTCAATATTTGATGTGGTCAAGTTTAAGTCTGTCGTATTGAAGCTCGATATACATATACATATAGTATAATAAAACATGCACACTTGAAATTGGCCCATGCGACCATGTCTTTCCTAATGCAATTTAAGATGTTATATTTGCCACATATGCAACACTAAGAGAGCAATCATTAGACAAAACATCAATGACTTAATTGATTTATTTTGAAATTTAAAGTAGCATAAAATATATTTTCATCCACCAATAGTCTTCTGTTGTAATTACAGAACACATTTTATTTATTAAGTGTTGATCACCAAATATTTTGTTTCTTTTATGTTCATCATTGTATGACCGATGGGTAACATGCCTATGCAGCTAAATTAATTTAAGACCAAGACTATACCAATTCAAGACTTGGTTTGAGTTTGTCTCTTGTCAAAGGTCCAAAAAGCAAATTTTCGCCCAACAAAGACCTTCCTCTCTGAACTTAAAAACATTGTAAAAGAGAACTTATGATAGTCACCTTATACCACAATAATAACTTCACCATCTTAGAACTTTGTTGCTTCATCCAGATAACATAACACTGAATCTGAACCATTTATTGAAGGCAAAGCCAAGAGCAAACGTATTTAAAAAATAATGATGCAGAGATATAAATACCTCTCATCACGCCAAAAAGAATTGGTGTCCAACTCAGGCAACACAAGTGTAGCATTCATAATTCGTGCAGCAACAACTGCATTGCATATCTGAAAGATCACAACAAAAGCACTAATTAATCAGTTTTAAGAAAGTGAAATCTCAACATGAGATTTACTGAAATATTTCAGAAACCATGAGTTCAAAATGGCCAGATTAGCTATGAATGTAGTTCCAATTTATTTCACCTTTGAGATATGACCTAATGTTATTCATGTAATTTGAAAGACAACCTCAATAAACATCGTAATCAGAGTTATACATGACATTAAGTGAAAACAAATTTTGTAATAGTGTTTGTAAGCATTACACAAAATTTGCACAACACAGAGGAGCTAACAAGCTTGCCTCTTTATCGATCTAGTTATAAATTGGTGACTTAGTAGAAAAGCTGATGCAAGAATAATTAAGTTCACTATTGAGTATTCAACCACTGCCAATTATTCAACACAATTTTTCGTTCAACTAATTTAGTCATCAACTAAAATAAATTATGTGCCACTAACCATTTGGCAGACTTACAGTTAAATAAAGAGGGGGTTATTTTTCTGTTGACACTCAGGTTCAGGATGAGCAAGTTCTCAAACAAAAAAAAGTGTTATTTCCCACTTTGTCTAGATATTTCCAAAATTTATGGAAAATATGAATAGACACCTCATAATCACAATAATATAAGCTGAGGCCCAAATGGTAAATTTGCTAAGGGTCAGTGCTTGTCTTGGTTCTGTGGAATATTCCTCTATCCCACTAGTTTACCTTTGCTACACAGTCCAGGGACCAAACCTTAAAAACACTCATGCCAAATTGACAATTAATATGAAAGTGAAACACAGCTAGAACTTACTATGAACCTTCTTGACCTAGAATGCAGCATCCCATATTGATGCAAAAAGGCTTGGAAGTGATGAGCACCTGCCATTTTTAAGAGTAATAATAAAACTCTTAACACTTTGTTTAGTGGTTGCTTCTTACACTTGGGGTTACTTTAATGTTAACTGAAATAGTATTACAGTTATTAGGAGTAGAATGTATGATCATCAACTAAGCATGCTTGAAGCCTTGAACTACGTCCATGTCTTCAGTAGAAAATGCCCTCTATTTTGAAAGAATATCAAGTCTTCATCCTCTACAAGTTATTTACAATTAACAAAAACATAGTGCATAAATAATTTTTCATTCCTAGCAGGGAGACATGTGTTAAGGTAATATCATTTACATGGATTTTCCCTTCCACTACTTCTGGTTTTAAGGTAATATCACTTCTGATGTTTCAATATGGCACCTGCCATTTTATTGCAGCAATTACATGTTCTCACATCACATCATCCACTAAAACCTGTGTTAACATTGCTGTTTGGCTATGAATGAATCTTATCAAGTACTTGAAATAAACTGTTCCATATGGACAGGTCTTTGAATCTAATAGAGATGAGAGAGATGAGTTAACATCTCACTAGGACGAGAATCAATGTGTTAAGTTCTCTAATATTTTCCATGTTCTTGATGAAATGAGTTCAGATATGCTTTAATCTATATTACCCTAAAAAAAACTTACTTGGTCACACCTCGAGTCTTTGGCCTAATTATAAGTTTTTTCATCATCTATTATTCTGAGTGCATTGTGATATAGGAGTCACATAGAATTAACAAGAAGACTAGAACTTTATTTCTTACATTGGCATCCTCGCAAATTCTCAAATGTTCTGTCCTGTTAACCAAATATTAATGTGTTAAGTATAGATGCTTATATGTACATAGAAATGAAATGCAGTGAAGTTTTAATGACACTAAACAGATCTGTAAAAGATTTCATAGATTCTTAAGTCTTAGCATAGTAAAAAATATTTGCTAGATGGTCAATGACATGACTGCAATTTTCAACAGCATCTTGTGTCAATCATTGAAGTAACTACTATGTCAACACAGTATCAAAATTAGTCGAGGCCAAGCGCAAGGTAAGATGTAGTCTTACTTTAGCATTTATCTACTAATCCAAATCATGACTCTGGAACATTAGAATGCAAGAATGATAGATTATGTCTATAAATACATTGTAATAAAAAAATGTTCCTTACCGCACTACGTTGTTGGTTCAAGCCACCATTGCAACGAACTCGTAGAAAACCATTACTCTCTTTTGGTGGAGCTATAGCAATGACATCATGATGAAACATAAGGTTTCCATCCAGATATTAGTATTTTAAATACTAGCACAAACACATTTTTTATGTGGCTATGATCAAGACATAAAAGATCACACATACGAGGCCAGTATGATCTGGGAGCAGATGATGGTCTCCAACCCCCTGGATTAGAACTCCTCCAAAGCTTATTAACATCAACAACCTTAAAAAACATAAAGTATGCAGGAAAAAGTAAGCACTAGAAAACAAAAAAATAAAAAAAATTCAACAAATGTATAGACATTAAACTTCCATTTAATGGTTGTGTATGGACACACATCATTGATCAATCAGAGATCAGTCATATTTTGAGTAAGATAATGTCATGGGAAAAATTGAAGCTCCTTAATGACACTATCAGAAACAGAAAGTAGGAAGAAATATCAACTAGAAACACTGTATATGTAAGATTATATATCAACCTAATACAACTGAATTCTTCAAGAAAATGGAGAACAAGCCATGGTCTTAATACGAAACAAAGTGAAAAAGGCATAACTTGAGGTCTTATGTGGATGAAATGACAACATTTATGCATAAATGGGCACCAAAGAGTTTCACACAAGCTTAATCAAATGATGCCATCTGCTAAAAGAAAATGTCATAATCTTCTGAGATTTGCAGCTAGAACGACACATGTATCAAGCTGAGGAATGCATAATGCTGAGGAATCATCTCGGCTGAGGTCACTGCAACAATTGCCATGGTTATCTATGGAAGGAAAATTAAAGAAAACAATCCTTAATATCAAAGAACTGGTCCATAATTTCATTGAGTTAATTCGCTTTAACAATATGAGACTACTCAAAGTACCTCAGCTTCTTTAGTTCCTGGACCATTTCAAGAAATCACTTAACAATTGTTGGAGCACTATTATCCAACATAAGCACACAAAAAAAGCTCTTACCGATCATCTTTCACATGATGACTATCAAAGTTCTGATGTTTCCTATGTTTATATTGCACTAAACAAATCGATGTTGATTGTGATTCAGATCATTCCTGGTAATGAGGAACATCTTGCACCACAAAACGTTTTACTCTTGTATTCAACAATCATGTCTGACCAATGAGACTTCACCTCAGTCTATCTCTATCCATGCGTGCTGAAGGTTCCCATTGCTTGCCAAAGTTAATCATCATTTCACGCTCTTAACTACATTTTATGCACGCCCAATTTCCTAGATATCTCAATACTCTCGACCAATGTTCTCCACTCCACCGTGATCTTGCGACAACCCCAACAGGATCTTTTCACCAATCCCAGCCTTGAATCCAGTCTAAGAACCGAAACATCGAACAATGCGACTAATCTCCAGAAATCCAGGACCGAGAAATCAAACTAACCTCCACTCGGTTCGAGGGTCGGGTGACGCCGATGGTCGAGAACAGCGACAACGTACAGATGACGAGAACGATCAACGCGACCGACAGACGCGCCGCCATCCCCTTCATCCCATGCTTCAGCGGCCTCTGCCCCCCAACGCCACCGCCGCCTCTCCGCCCCCAAATGTCTCCACCCCTGCGTGAAAACATTCGAAACCTAATGGAACAAGAATTGGAAGAAAGATGAAGCAAAAGAGAGGAGAAAAGACGAGGTGAAGCCGGTCTTCGCACCTCCGCATCGGAATCGAGGATTAGTTTACTTGGCAAAATTGCACGCTTTATGGCTGTGCTCGGACTTACGAGTGGGAAAAGGTGAAGATCTCGGGGGATGATGGACGAGTTTAAAACGAGCACACCGCAGGAACAAGTTAACTGTGGTTGCGTAAGACCTTTTGCCTATCCGCTTTAGATATACGCCCCAAATATACACCCTTGGGAATCGGGTAGGCCCATGAAGTGGATCCTTTAATCACCTCGCCGGTGATAAAGGAAAACACCGATGGGTGAGATGTAAATGGGGATCTTTATGTAATCCACCGTCACATTAATGATGCCGAAGACGATTTAAATTTATTTCAAAATAATAAAGTAAATGCATTTTTATAATCTTTTTCTATTATAAGGTTCGAAATTTTTCGATATAGACTATACGAAAAAATTATTTTAGTACCATAATTTAAAATTTTGATGTAAGTGATAAGCAACCCTCATGATAACCCTAGCCATTCGGTTTTTCAATCCTCACTCACCTATCGACCCTTATCATGGTTAATCGTGATCGTCACGCTAGACAGAAGAGAACATAGGATCATAGCTGCTTTCCCAAATCCCACTAGTCTTTATCGGATTCATCTTTTTTTTTTTTTTTTTTTTCCTCTGGACTCCTCTTTCTCGTCTCTTCCTCTTTAGACTATTCTCCTTCTTTCTTGATCGATGATTATAATACGAGAACTAACGGATAATCCCTCCTTAATCGTGCGAGAACCAACTGGCAAGATCGAGTGAAGGTACAATCAAGTGAAACGAAATGGGGTGATCGATAGAGGCAAAATGATTATTCTAAACAAATATTTTTAAAAAGTTTTAAACTTACAGCACTCTATCGGAAATATCCGATATTGAAAGTAGGATGTATCTTTTTTTTTTTAAGAAATCATCAAAAAAATTAATAATTTATATTTATTTATGGACGATTTATAAGAAGGAAAAAAAAACTTCAGGCTTTGAATTTTTATATGATAAAATATAATTATCATTTCTACTCTTGACTTAGTAAAAATATTTTATAAAATTTCTTATTGTCCGAATTATATTTTATTATGGTTGTCTCTTTCTCTTTGCTACTATTGATATTGGCTCCACCCATAGCCTATTTTCTTCATCTACTATCATCCCCTCCCTTTCCATTGACGATCTTCATTATTCCTTCAAACAACCCCATCGTCTATTATGACATCAACTCCGTTTAATCCTCAATATCACCACTGTCAACTATTACTTTACGAATATATTAACACAATTAATCAGGTCATCTCTATTGTCGTCAAGACTCTCATTATACCAATATCGATGCCTTCTTAAGCATTTCCATTCTATATGTGTATTGGGGTTTTCATCACCTACATATATTTTTTTGTCTTTTAATCTTTTTTTATAATTAATTAATTGATTGATTATTATGGAAAGTACATAGTCTAGTCTCTAGGATCAAGAGATCGAAAGCTAAGTAGTTCTCATTCTCATCGACATCCCAAACAATACCATCTCTCAAAATGACTCGGCTATAAGTTTTTAGAACCAAAGGGATTGTAAATGACTCCATTATAAGTTTGAGATTATAAATAAAATTAAAAAAGATAATTGATGAGTTGTCTTTAGAGCCAAAGAAAAATATAACCAAGAGATTGTGACTCTTAAGTTATAGATTAAAATACTTAAAAAATAATGATAAAGGGATATCGACTATTTGATTATGAGTCATGACGTAATTTTTTGAATTACGAAATACATGATAATTATTTTTCGAGAATATGGTCAAGATTCTAATGTTCCAACTCTTACGAGGTATGAATCATCTTCATGACTTACCGTAATTTAATAAAGATATAATTATAATAAACAACCTACTGAATGATCATAGGATTATTCAATCATTATTAATATATAATCTATAGGATATTTCATGATAAATCTTTTTATCTAAAGAAATACTATATTGTAGAAAACCCCATTATTAGATCAATTTAAAAGATTTTTAAAATCCTCATATGAAATAGCATAGGTTTTCATATTCTCTTAGCATAATAATTACACTCAATCTCTCAATATTCTATCGTATTACATGCTAATACGAACTTTTATGGAGGCTTCTGACTCATAGATGTTATTGTGGAATTGAACATCGTGGTAGAGGAGTCGGCATAGCTAGGTTTCGTCTAGAAGGTGTAAGATCGCTCATAAGAGGATTTGGAGATGTGGTGATCGAATCAGGTCGGGTTAAGGAGAAGCCTCACCAGTTAGGACAAGACGGGCCTTCGATTACTACTCCTTCCTATGATAAAAAGTCGATGTCGGGAGGGGGATTTCCGACTTGACTCATCCGAAGTTTAAGTTAACTCCATCCGAGGAGGGGATTAGCTTTTATACTTGTTTGTCGGAGGGGTGATCGTACGAAGCTTGTTAATGATCTATGCTACCTCAAGAGATCGTTCGATACTTTTCGCACGACATGGGTCGACTTGCACAGCTTTGCGTCGTGCGACGTCGCCTTGCATCATCGTGGATGGTTCAAGGTAGGACAACGCTATATCGTACAGATCCAGACGACACAAGTATAACTTTCGTCGTCCCTAGTTCCGATGTGCTTTGTCAGCACACGTGTGTCACGTCGATCATCAGGTGGCTCTCGCCCGTTGCCATGCCAGAATATGCTCCATTCAGAGATTAAGTGTCGTCGCCGCTCTTAGACATGAAAGGTCGAGCGATATCTCATCCGATCCACAGTGATACTGTCAAACAGGAAGAAACCTAAGATAATAAATAATGTCTCTCACCATCGAACAGTTACTGGCTGACAATGCATAATCTAACTCGATAGTTTCTCAGCACCGCATGAATGGAACAGTCGGGTGAGCATAAATGCATGTGGAAGTAACGGCAGAACATGGAAATGGCTGAGACCCACAGCAAAATATGATAGCCAGAGACCACACCATGATTTCACCAAAGCTTCCTTCACAAGTCATTCTGCAACTGCACTGTTGCTTTGGAATTCATCAAGCTTCCACATCCCTTTGGTTCTTTAAAACTGTTTGTTCGTCGTCTCTGTTGCATTCATCAGCTATCTGAAGCTTCTTCGGGCTCTCTTTCGTCTCCTCCTGTAGCCCATGGAGTCGGCCATGAGTCCTCGGTTGGGAGTTGGCTCAGACGCCGAGAAGCTCTCATCCCCGAGGACTCCGAAGAAGAAGCCTTCTCTCCGTGCGGAAGACGAAGTTGTGGCGGATTTTGGTACGATCTTACTGTTAGATTTTGTTTCTCTTCTAAATATTACCTAAAAATGGATTCTTTTCTAGAAGAAATAATAGATCCTCATGGGATGAAAACGAACATGAGTTTTGCTTAGTTTTACTGATCCATAGGTTTGATTATGGTGTAAAAATGATTCAGTGGAAGTTCATTAATTATATCTGAATCCGAAATCATAGATCGGGGTTGCATTTCATCATTAATTTCCACAAATTTTTATAGTGAATTTGGCATTCAAAGAAGTGCCAAAAATCCCATAAATTTAGGTATTTGCTCTCATATGTCATATGTTGTTCAAAAAAGAATAAAAATAATTTTAAAAATAATTTTATTTTTTCTTAAAAGATAAAAAATTAATCATAGAAACCTCTACTGGAGATGTATACATCGTTTATAAAAGCATTTAATTCTCATCTTAAATAGATATACGATAATTATGTCGTTTTCATAAATTTTAATCTAATTTTTCGTAAAATATGAATGAGGCATCTTATGTTTTCAAGCGAGTAAAAGGGAATCCTTCTTTGACTCACGAGGATGGTTGGATTCTGACTCCGAAGATGACTTTGTCAGTGTCAACGGAGGTATTACTGCCGTTCAGAATCCAAAATTCTCATGCTGTTTTGTGTCTTAGTTTGTAGCATCTCATCCTCGTTTTGTTCAGATTCAACTCCTTTCAGCTTCAGTACAAACAAAGCATTCTCTGCTGATACATTTCCTGACACCACATCTGAGCCTTCTTCAGCTATTGCAAAAGGGAAATTTGTCGATCTTCTTCAGGAGAATCCTTCTTCTGAGAGTGAAATCAATGGAAAGCCAGAGTTCTCTGAGATTGATGCCACCTTACTCCCTGGAATCCCTCACGATGGGACTTCCCATGTCGCTGACGTTCCAACTCCCAGTAAAGATAAGAGGAGTGGAAAGTGTTGCTTGTTGCCTTTGCTGTGCAGACTAAGCTTCAAGGAGAGAAGGAAACAGAAGATGATGAACTCTTTTCACTGAAGTGGCTGTTGTTTGCTACCACAAGCAATCATTTTCTTCACATCAGGGAACCAAATCTTATATGACTACTCTACTGAGATATATGTTGTCTTGCATTTCTATAAAAGCCAATAAATTGTCTGATGATTAGCCATTTACATCGATTATGCTTTCTAGTGTCACATCTAAGAATTGTTCTGCTGAACATGGTTTTATGGTTGATGGTGAAGGGAGAAATGGAAAGATCTAAGAAGACTTTACAATAAATAAATAAATCAATCAATCAATAAAAAGATTTGGATTTTTTGATTTAATCAACTAAAGAAAGCTCAGTGTTGGACTCCTAATTGGAGTTCAAATTATTCTTTCCAATCTGACCCAAATCAATTGGGGTTGGGTTCAATCCCGGTCCAAAGGGCTCGATTCGAGACATTGGATTAGGTTGGGTTAGACCGACTTGGTGAGTATATGCCTCGCTTCGTCCCCATATCTGAAAAGGTATTTGGAAAGAGAACGAGATGTAATAGAAAGGACGAGCTACGGAGAGAGAGAGAGAGAGGGAAACGAACGGCGAGAAGTTAGCTTCCTTCCTTCCTTCTCCGTGTCATCTAAACCCTAATCCCCATAGGGTTTTTTCGCTTCACCGGGAAGTCCATCGGAAATTCCTCAGATCGACGCCTCCTTCCACCGAAAGGTGAGATCTTTGTCTCGATTTGGCGTTCTGATCAGGGCTTCGATTCGTTTCCTTAAAGTTGTTATTTTGGCGTTTGGAGATTAATTAGGGTTCTGAGGTTTCGAATTGGTGGTTCTTTGATGGCGTCGAACAACAACAACCAGCCACGTGGTGTCGGCGGCCCGCCACCGCTAGGGAACCCTGGAATGGCCTCACCGGCGTCGGCTAACCAGCCGCCCCATCTCCGCCCCCCGCCGCCGCCGGGTTCTTCCCCTTTCCAGGGTCTCTTCCACTCCCAAGCGCATCCGCAGGCCCAGCCGCAAGTACACTCCCCTTTCCAGATTCAGATGGGTTCGCAATCCCAGGTCGGTTTGCTCGGTTCCAACTCCCCCTCCTTCTCCACGCCTGGTTTGTCGAGCGGCCCTAAACGGCTTCCTCAGAAGCCCCCGGCGCGGCCCCCGGCCCCCATTTCTGCCGCCGCCAGCCCAATCATCAAGGCCGCCGATATAACCGCTGCCGCCCGGAGGAAGAAGCGCAGACTTCCGGAGAAGCAGTTGCCCGACCGAGTCGCTGCCCTCTTGCCCGAGTCTGCCCTCTATACCCAGTTGCTTGAGTTCGAGGCCCGGGTCGATGCGGCCCTCGCGAGGAAGAAGATCGATATCCAAGAAGCTCTGAGAAGCCCGCCTTCCATGCAGAGGACGCTTAGAATTTATGTCTTCAATACCTTCGCCAACCAGACGCGGATGATCCCTGAGCCCATGGAGCCTCCCTCTTGGTCACTGAAGATCGTCGGAAGGATCTTGGAGGATGGGGTCGACCCTGATCCTGCTGGTGCGCTGCCTAAGCCCAACCCCATGTATCCCAAGTTCTCATCGTTTTTTAGGAGGGTTACGATCGCATTGGACCCATCACTCTACCCGGAGAACCCCACGATCGTGTGGGAGCAGGCACGCTCCCCGGTGCCGCAGGAGGGCTTTGAGGTCAAGAGAAGGGGGGATAAAGAGTTCACAGCTAGTATAAGGCTTGAGATGAATTACAATCCTGAGAAGTTCAGATTGTCACCTCCGCTGATGGAGGTGCTTGGGATCGAGGTTGATACACGAGCTAGAATTATTGCTGGGATATGGCAGTATGTGAAGGCGAAGAAATTGCAGAGCACTACAGATTCTTCCTATTTTGCTTGTGATCCACCCTTGAAGAAGATATTTGGAGAAGACAAGATGAAGTTTGCTATGGTGTCGCAGAAGATCTCACATCATTTGTATCCACCACAACCCATTCACTTGGAGCATAAGATTAGGCTTTCAGGAAATGGGGCTGTGGGCAATGCCTGCTATGATGTGCTAGTTGATGTTCCATTTCCGCTGCAGAAGGAAATGTCAGCTTTCCTTGCCAACACAGAGAAACACAGAGATATTGAAGCTTGTGATGAAGTAATATGCGCTTCTATCAAGAAGATTCATGAGCATCGTAGGAGAAGGGCTTTCTTTCTTGGATTCAGTCAATCTCCTGTAGAGTTCATAAACACTCTGATTGCTTCTCAGAGTAGGGACTTGAAACTGGTCGCAGGTGAAGCAAGTCGGAATGCCGAGAGGGAACGCCGTTCTGACTTCTATAACCAACCATGGTATGCCTTTTGTTTATGTGTTGGCTTCTTTTAACTTCCCTAAGGAGTAGCTTTTCTTATGCTGACTATGTATTGTGCTACTGATGGAAATATAACAGGGTTGAAGATGCTGTCATCCGATATCTCAATCGCAAACCTGCAGCTGGCAACGATGCTCCTGGTAGCACATGAATACAAGATTGACTTGTTGCTCATAATGTTTGCCTAAAATTTCTAGACATGGGATAGGTCATATTTAGTAGGTACTCCTGTATGTTGTCTTTTATGAGTTATTTTACAAGGAAAATGATTCTACAATGATCATTCTAGTCTGCCAGTGAAAACCCAATTTACGTAATGCTTAAATTGTTTTAAAGTTTAAAATATGGGAACTGTTTGCTTTAGACCTGTTTTTGTCGTCCTCAAGTCCTATTTACATTGTTTTAATGTGTAGGATGACAGTCCTATTATATTACTTTGACAGATTGAATTACTTTATTAGATATAATAGATGATTTCTAGTTGATGAATTATTGTTTCTTATGGATGAATTTATTTAGAGCACAAACCTTGGCGTAATGTAGTTTTTTTTTTTCTTTTCTTTTGCGAATTAAGCGACAGGAATGGCTTCCTTCTTGCAAGGGTAAGGCTGCATGCCTTGACCTTTTTGTAAAGCAGCGGACGTATCACACGTTAGGCTGCCTTTTTTTCATATAGATGGATGATGAGCATTGATTTAATTGCAAGCAAATCTTGTGGTAAATTTGCCAAAGGTTTAGTGTATATCAAAAAGTAGAAGTCCCCTCTTTTGAGAAAAAAAAGAGATATGTAAAGTGAGAAAGACGATTAGAAATACAAGATAGCCTAAATTAGCTTCAAAATGTCATTCCTTGTTAATTAAATTAAATCTGATAATAACCATACATGATCAACCAATTATATAATTTTGGGTACACAAGGACAATAAATAAACCATGGATTTGATCTAATCGATAATTTAAATCAGTACTTGTATACGAATGACAATGCTTATTTAAAAATATCTATTGTTGCTCTAACAACAAAAGATAATTTTTGCCAAAATCTAATAGATACTGTGAGTGCTTTGTGGTCATCATGAACCACCGGATGACTTTTGTTCAACTTGTTTTCATTTATGTAGAGTTCACGTTTCTCTTGTAAGCTTCCTGGATTATCAGGAAAAAAACCTCCTTTCAAAAATCTTGTTTCGCCTTTCCATTTCTTGCCTGTGTTCCCAATTCTGTGGCATCTATCATGTAGAAACTTGGTGCTTTGGTTGTTGCTACACCTCCTTATGCTTATTCTCATCGTTCTCAAAATTCTATCAAATAACACATCAGCATCTTCTGTTTGAATTGTTTGTTCTCTATCTTAGCTTATGTGAATTGTTTGTTCTCTATCTTAGCTTATGTAGATTCTTTTTGTCTTCACTGGCTTTTGGCTAGGAAAGTTTCTGTGGCATGTCAATTGCCCTCCGAGTTCAGTTGTGTTGCTTTCAGTGTTCATGATGTGCTGTTAGTGTATTCATTTTCTTCTGCACTCTGCAATTCTTTTCATCTATTGTGTTGAAATGTTTTATTTCAAGATCAAGATTGCTTCTGCGATCTCTAAGAATAGTTTTTCCAGTCTTGTATCGTATTGCTTTACTTGTGAATACAATATTGTATGATTCTATGTCTTATTTTCGTTAACATGAATGACTATTATTAGTGGTTTTTGTTAATGTGTCGAAATCATCATAGTTGCCTGCATGTCTCTATGCGTATAAACTTTTTTTTTGTCATATATGTTCTTATGAAGTGTTGAAGGGCGTCATATGCAGTAAATTTACTGTCTTAACAAAATGTTATGATTTATCAATTGAAAGGTTAACCATTTTAGTTAAAAGTAAAAAATATTATAAACCATGGTTCGATAATTTTAGATAGATGTTAAAGATGCAATTCTAATGAAAAGAAATATAGAGCCTTGTGGTTGTCCTGTGTGAAAACATCATTCCAAGTGGTCATAGATGCTAAGTATGTCAATTAGCATTTGTTTACGTAATTGTCACTGAATAAAATTTTGGTGATGACACATACATTAGAATACTTTCAATAAAATCTTTTTTAATTTAAATTTAGTGACAACATTGTCACCAATCTTGTGATCAAAATTTTTGAATCATGGCAAATGACACATCAACTCATTAGTGACCGTTTATATATGTATAAATAAATATATATATATATAATAATAATAATAATAAATAATATAATGTTTAAAAAAGTGATCCAAATCATTGCTATTTAATTCATTCCAAAAAATTAGAAGTGTTTTAGAATTGCTTGTTAATATTTATATAGTTAAAAAGACATTTTAAATGATTTCAATATTGGACCTGTAGTCTTGTTTTATATATTTTTATATTCGTTGTTCTTTGCCAATGATCTCCTAATCATATTGTGTAATTCCATGTCTTAGTTTTGCTAACATCAATGACTATTATTAGTGGGTTTTGCTAGTGTGTCGAAATCATCATAGTTGTCTAGATACCTCTATGCATATCATCAGCATTTTTTCGTCATATATGTCCTTATGAGATGTTTAAGGGCGTCATATGAAGTAAATGAACTGTCTTAATAAAATGTTATAATTTATCAATTGAAATATATATTTGTTCGTTTAATAATATCGAGATGAAGATTAATCATTTGGTTAAAAGTAAAAAATATTGTAAACCATGGTTCAATAATTTTAGATGGATGTTAAAAATGCAATTCTAATGGAAAGAAATATGGAGCATTGTAATTATCCCGTGGAAAACATGATTCCAAGTGGTCATAGATGTCATGTATGTCCACTAGCATTTGTTTACGTAATTGAATAAAATTTTGGTGATGATACATAATACCCTCATTAAAATCTTTTCTAATTTAAAATTTACTGACAAAATATTGTCACCAATCTTGTCATCAAAATTTTTGAATCATTGCAAATGACACATCAACTCATTAGTGACCGTTTATCTATGTATA